GTGTAACAATATCTTCTTTGCGGCCAAATGGGAAGTCCTCTACGACGTTGCTGGCAGCGTCAAGCGAGGGAAGTCCACGGACCAGCTTATTTATTCTGGACCAGCGGTAAAGCTTGCGGCTCTTTTTCTGTGCACTCACACCCGCGAGTCTCTGCCGACGGGCTGCCATGTGACCGAGTGGCAGCCGCTGCTGGAGTCCAATCCGACAGCATGAAAGAGGGGCTAGGGGGGTTGAGTCCCGCTTCCAATATTCGGCATCCCGGTCGTGTGTGGCGGTTTTGAATTCAGTTCGGTGTTTTGGACATTGGGTCTTCCGGATGGGTCGCAGTGATGTTATTACTGATAATGGTATCAGGATTCTAAATCCTCAGAACAATGAAGCCGCCTGAATTTTACGTCTTCCAACCAAACCTCAGCTGACTTGATTGAAGCTGACACAGATCCCAAACCCCGAAGTCAAGACCCAAAACCTTAACCTTCAGCCCCGACTGCGGCCCAAAGTCCTGAACTCCAGCCTCGACTGGGACCCAAAGCCCTGAACTCCAGGCCCGACTGGGGCCCAAAGCCTTGTCAATGTGAACCCAAATTTCAAAAGCCCTGAACTCCAGCCTCGACTGGGACCCAAAGCCCTGAACTCTAGCCCCCGGCTAGGACTAGGACCCGAAGCCTTGAACTCTAGACCCCGACTGGGATCCAAAGCCTTGACTCTGATTTCCCACTAAGGCCCAAGGAGCCCAAAGCCTTGAACTCCAGCCTTGACTGGGGCCCAAAGCCCTGAACTCCAGCCCCGACTGGGGCCCAAAGCCCTGAACTCCAGCCCCGACTGGGGCCCAAAACCCTCGAAGCGAAACCCATCCCTGGATCCCAAATACTAATTAATACTACAGTCTTAATTTGATAGTTCGTCAAGCGAATTCACCTCACTCACCGAATGAATGTCTATCAAACAAGCCTCCAAGGCTCCAAGCCCCCAAGGCTCCGAGCCCTCACACAAATCCCGACCCCAAAATAAAGCCAACCGGGTGGCCCAAACCCCTCGAACAGCAATACCCAACCCTACGCCCCAAGCCCTCATCAGTCAAGACCCGAACTAGCGAACTTGAACTAGTAATATTATTTAAGACCCGGGCCCAAACAAGTAACTCCCACCCAAAGCCCAAACAGGACACACTCAAGACCCAACCCGGAAGCTGGAGTTTTCAGGGAGTCCTGAGTCGAGCTAGCTGCAGCGGCTTCGATAGGGGAGTAGTCAAATTCGGAATCGGGTTTAGGCAAATAAGTTGTATATGGGGGTTCCGTGGGCATGGCCTGAGCCTTTCTCCTGCCTTAGGTCTCCAAGCGGGCGGCGCCTTGGGTCGCAGGCGCGACTTCTGTTTGAGGTTGAAATTTAATTGTGCGGGTGCGGGAATCGGTTGCAGGCGAGTTCTGTTGTGCAGCGTCAGGGTCTGGGGATTGTCTGACTGTTTTAGGGATGTAAAGACCGTTCACTATTCAAGCAATCGTGAAACTTATTATAGATTTCAGATTGGAGAAGGGTTTAGGGTTTAGAGGTCGAGCGGATCTGGTCCCTGGCTAATCCTCAAGCCCAATCGGATTAAAAGGGTTTAAATTTACGGGTTTAAGATAGCCTGTGCTGCAGACCGTCTCCCTTTGGGCCTCCTTGAGGGCAGAGGACTCCGCTTCACACCCCCACCAAAACCATGCTTCATCATGCTGCCGGCTAACAGGTAGAGACAACAATACCCGCCATGTCGTCAGAACCCGGCATGTCGTCAGAGCCCGCGTTCCATGTGTCACCATTCGGCACACCTATATTCATGCCAGCCGCTGCTATCATAGGTGAGCGTGAAAGGAGAGATGCTCGGCTAAAGCAGTACTCTGAGCGAGACAGAAGGCGCTCGGAGAGAAAGAAGAGACGTGATGGTCGTCGTGGCGATAGCGAGAGCCAGGAGGACCAGGAGGAGGAAACGGAAGGTGGCAATGGAGATGTCGATTATGACAGCGACGGCGACTGTATCATGAGCATGCAGCAGGCTCAGGGTAGCGGCGAGGGTGATCGTCATGAAGACAGTGGCCAGGGCCAGGCTCGCCACAGCGAGGGCGGCACTCGTAAAGTTCGTGAAGATCGCTACACCAAGAGAAGTCGTGAATCTGAAGATTGTCAAGATGAAGATGAGGAAGGTCGGCAAGAAGATGACGAAGATTGGCAATCTCCAGATGATGGCTGTGAAGACATCTGGGACGACGACAGCCACGGCGAGGGCAGGGAGGCCAGCTCAGGTGTGACGACGACAGCCACGGCCACGGCAGGGAGGGCAGCCACGGCCGATCGCGGCGATGAATCTGAACGACATGGCCGTTACTGGAAGGACCCAGAGTCAGTAGTTCTGAAATATGCCGCATTTAAAACGATGGCGTTCAATGTAACACGAAGGCCTGGACTCCGAACCCGGAAACGGCGGCCAAGACGGCGGGCAAGACGGCCGGCAAGTACCGGACTTACATAGTCGAGTGTGATTACTTTCTGCAAGAGCGGCAGGTTCACCAAGGCCAATCTCAAGAGCGGCGGCAGGGTTGAGGCGACCTCGCCCTGCCGCCTGTCAGGTTCACCAAGGCGGATCTCAAGAGTTCAATGCAGGCTGCCAAAAATCAAAGACCTAAGAAGAGAGCTCGGAACCGCATCGCTTTGCTATTGCACGGTGTCAATCCGGTATCGCACAAAAATAACACTCCCCCTGCCCTTCAGGTCTCCGCATTTGTCGGGCCTTTTCCGCCGCTGAGGAGGCGAACCAGGTGTTCCGTTTAAGGTTGATCTTTGGCTGTAGACTAATAATAGGTTCAGACCTGCCCTGAACTGTACAAAAATTAAGATTGTATTGAGGCTTCAGCCAGGGGTCGGCTTTATGGTTAGTAGAGAAGCAAAACGCTCAAGGCTTTAAACCTTTGGCTAGAGGGTTAAGGGTTGTCGGCTGGAGTTTCAGCTGGGGCTGCTTGACCCGGGTCCGGTAGTATTTGAGTGGGTAACAGCTAAGGCTAGGCTAACTTCGCCACGTGAGTTGCTTGCTTGCCTGCTCTCGGCCGGGACAGATGCCTGGACACGACTCCTGACTGACGGCTAAAAGAACGCCTAGCCGGAGCTTACAAGCGGGAGTGCAACAAGGACGACTGGAGCATCTTTGAAGCCAGCAAGCAGTTGCGCTACAGAGACTCCATCGTTCCTCCGCCTTAGCTGTAGTCGCGTCACCGTTGATTCTGATCGACGTGCCCCTGGCTGCCACTGAACTGAACAGTGCACGGCCCGTGTTGCCCGCACGAAGAGTCGTTGCGCTTCAACTGAACAGTGCACGGCCCGTGTTGCTGCACGAAGAGTGTTGTGTGCTTTCCCACAACACGGTCAAGCAGCCCTGGCAACATTGCGGCTCCAGACTCTTGAGCGGCCTTCAGTGCCGACCACCCACACGCTACTTCGATCAAGGCGGCATCAGGCGGAGAGCAGGCGAACAAGGGCCCTACCCTCTCCCGTTCCCTAATAATAAGGATCGAAACCCCTAACCTATAAACCCCCAGATCCCTCCCGTCGAGCCGTTAAAAGACTTAAGTTAGCTGCAAATTCTACATTGGGAGTCCTAAAGATCCTGACATTCAGAACATGTTCCAGGCTCCGGTTTTTAGGGGTCAGGGAGGAGAGCGGCATTGGTGACGAGAGCCGAGATCATCAGCCCAAAAGCCTAGGACTCCTAACCCGAAAGGCCCCTAAACCCTAGACCCTAAACCCTAAACCCTAAACCCTAAACCCTAAGCCCTAAGCCCTGAAGCCCTAAACCCTGAAACCCTAAACCCGGAAACCCTAAACCCTGAAACCGTAAACCCAAACCCTAAATCCGGAAACCCTAAACCCAAACCCTAAACCCTGAAACCCGAAACCCAAACCCTAAACCCTGGGGTTTATAACCTGGAACCTGCAACCCCTGGCCGAAGGTGCCGGACCGGCAGATGCCATGTTCGGCCCCCAAGTTTGGAGCCTGATTCCTTCAGTTTGGAAGAATGAGTCGCAAATTCGGATGATTCCTTGCGATCCTGACACACCATTTAATTTAGAACTAGTATTTAGGGGTTCGTGGCTACATGTTCGGATTTTAGGAGTCTGGGGGGAGAACAACATTGGCAGCGATTAAGAAAACACTAAACCCTGAACCCGGCCCGACACCTTGAACCCTAAACCCTGAAAAGACATTAAGCAGTAAATAAAAACAATGACACCTACCGTTTGCTCTAAACCCGCCGAAACCGTAAACCCAGACTTCAGAACCAGGACCCCAAACCCTAAACCCTGAACCCGTCAGAACTTTAAGGGTTCCTCGGTAGAGGCGGATGCAAAGGAGTTTAAGGATGAGAGCAACATTCGCGATTGAGCCTAGGGTTGGGTCCTTGGGGGGCTGGGTCCCAGTCCAGGTTTCTTTGAGGGCCGGGGTTAGGTCCTGCTTGGAGCATAGTTAAAATGATAGGTTGTTGGCTCAGTTTTGGTTTGGGGCTACGGGCTGGCCGAATCCCCGCTTTTGGTGAGGGAGTTAAAGTTGCAGCGTTCTTTTAATCTAAAAGTCAGAGGCTGAGGGTTTCTAGGCATGGAGAAGTGGCTTCACGAGGAGGGCCCAGGGTCAGTCAAATTGAAGTTTCTGTCGCTTTGGTTCACAGTGACAGAAGGCAGAGGTCGCTGAGAGGGAGTTGTTTACAAGTTATGAAGCAAATGACAGTGTGATTTGTATATGCACTAACTAATAAGAAGCAGTACCGGCAGTACCTGACTATCGTTACCCCAGTCAACGAGTGCGATTACTCAGTACAACTGAAACAGCGGCAGGCAGGCGGCAGGGTTTGAGGTGACCTCGCCCTGCCGCCTTCCAGGTTCTGCAATGGCCGATCTCCCAGTTCAACGCAGGCTGCGGTTCAAGCAGAAGGACAACGCCTATCCCAAGAAAAAGGCGAAGGTCAGCAGGGAAAAGATGCGAGAGTACGAGCAGAACAGGAAAAACAAGCGACGAAGCCGGCTGGACCCCGTCAGACTTCAAGAAGCCGAAAGAAAGCTGAAAAGAACGGAGGCCCGCTCTGGTCGAGGACCTTCGTGTGTGGTTATGCAATGACGACACATGCTAGGATGCCTATCTTCGTGCTTTTGCGATCGCGAATTTGCGCCATCGCCAGACGCCACTCGCCAGCCGGGAGTTCTTGTTGGATGGGTTTGCCACGTTTCGGACCGGTTTTCTTTGCAGCTAAGGCAACACCAGTTCCAGGAAATAGAGGACCTGCAGGCTCAGCTGAGAGAAAAGCCGCTGAATCTGCACACGGCTGCAGCAAGGTTCCACATAGAGAGAGGGCAAGAGCAGCAGAGTTGGCAACCTTGGCAAGCCGAGGAACTCGATCATCGAGGGGCTGACTAGCGAACTGCAGCAGCTCAGGAGTCTTGTCCGTAACATAGACAGACATCTGTGAGACTCAGACCTCCGCATTTTGGTGGTGCTCCTCTCCATGCCTGTCTCAGGTCCCGCAGCTTGAGTGACGGTGACAAGTGAATAGGAGAGCGTGTCACGGGGAGCGTCCGGTTTCAGGTCGTCACTGCTGTCATGCAGAGACGGATTTGTTTAATATGGGGCGAAGGGGAGAGCCGAGCAGACGTGCAAAGCGAGACTCTCGGTGGGGACGGGTGTCGTCAGGCGTGCACGGCGTAAAATGCTAGCTCCGGGCATTGATCCTGCGGTATCAGAAGCTTGCTGAACTTACACCAAGTCTTGGTGTCGCACCAGAGGTCCTGCTCCGGCCAAGATCCAGTCTGTTACAGCTCAGGTGGAACTTCCACGCTGGCAAGTGGTCTGGCCTCCAGTTCCGTCCTTATCAGAAAAGTTTGCAGGCAACCTGTGCAGAGCAGGCGGTGTGTTGAAAGGCTTCAGCTTGAATGCTAAGTAGAGTTCTACAGGGGCCAGAAACGGGTGGCGGTGTGAAGCTGCCTGATTCTGTTTCAGAGTCGCGACTGTTCTGCGTGCGGGAGTGCCGAGTGTAGACCCACGGAGCAGGGATGTGTCTAGGAGTGGACTGGAATCGGAAGCTGTTCTGCGTGCGAGAATCGCCCAGGAGGTGGTCGGGCGAGCGTCGATCCAAGCAAATGTGGCTGCGGCCTGAGACTATTCCGGTTTGAGGGTGATGGGGCTCAGCTAATAGGAGATGCTTGGCAACAGCAGGCATGGGCGCTGCAAGATGAATCTTCAGCTTGTGTAGGAGGGGCTGCAGAACACGTGTAAAACAAACAACCTCGCAGGAGTTGCCATTGGAGTCATTCAGAGGACAAGACACGCCTTGAAATGGACACGGCCCATCATCACACAAGGCTTGATCAAGTCGTCAAACTGGATCGGGTAATGGCGGATTTCATGACATGCATGGGCAGCACTTCCTTCATTTGCTGACAGAGGACGGATTAGCAAAAAAGTAAGGGGTCTCTGATTCCCGTCTTATATGCACGTCTGTGTCTGTGGGCATATAAGACAGCGGGCCCCGGGCCCACCGTCTTATATGCAAGTGTGTGTGGTGGCGCATATAAGACAGAAGTTGTGGAAGAGTCTAACTGCACTTGTGCATTTCCGTCTTATATGCACGTCTGTGTCTGTGCGCATATAGGACAGCGGGCCCCGGGCCCACCGTCTTATGTGCAAGTGTGTGTGGGTCAGCACATAAGACAAGAATTCCAGGCGCCCCCGAATTCTTTCTGGTTTGCTTGCATCCCTACACCCAGGTGGCCCCGTAGCCTGGGCAGCTGCGAATGCCAAGCTGAGCACTCAGACACTCTTCTGCGTCGCGGATGCCGCGGGCGGAGTCCCGTTTCGGTTGTGCCAAGTGCCTGCGTAAGGGGACATCCTGTAAAACACTCCGGATGCCGCTTCTTTCACACAAGCAGGAGCAGGAGACTCATCAGCACCTTTGCTCCCACTGATTTCTTGACAGCGATAGTGGGCTGCAGCAGCATCGGCTCAGGCGCCGGATGGATGGATTAGCACAAGAGCCTCGACAGAGCAAACATCCAATCATAGAGCCCGACATTTTCTACGTCTGCAAGCTCTGTCAATTAGTATTATAGTCGTTTACAATCCGAGTTTCTTTAGCCACTGCATGTCTATTTCCTCAGGCATCGCAAGTGGGAGGACACCTGAAATCAGACGCAGAAATAGTCGACGGGTTTGAGGTGACCTCGCCCCACGACATTGTGATCAACTGCACAGCGAACAATGCGATGTCCCACGGCAAGCGTACCGTGCATGCTGCTGCATCCGAGCCGCTGCGAGCGGCACGAGCGGCCAGCCCGGAAGGAATCTGTTAGGCTGCAGAGGAAGTATTGCTACCCAACTGTAACACTGCAGGAGCACACGTCCGCAAGTGCGAAGAAGTGTATGGCAGTGTTGAAGCCTCGGTCTCGCAGAGTGTCTTTCAGGCCATTGACTCATTATTATTGACTCATTGAGGTGAAAGAAGCTGCCCGACGGTGCAACCGTTGTTTCTACGTGAAACGGCGGCATAAGTGGAGTGGAGTGCTGAATTACACTCGGAGCGACGGTGCCAGGGTGTGCTGGCTCAGGGAGGCAGAGACTCGGAAGCATCGAGAGGCAGCAGCCGGGGGCCGGGGGTGCAACATCTGCGTGATGCCGAGGCAGCAGGACAGGCATGGGGCCTGGGCTGTGACGTTTGCTTCTCCGCGGCGGAGTTGCAGGGCAAGTCCTCCAGCTCGTGCAGTCCCTACGTCTTGTGCACGAAGGGGGCGTCGGGTGTCCGTCGCAAGGAGCTGCTGGAGAGGGATTGGCGTGAGAAGTCCAAGTGGAGCTGTTTGTCAGGAGGGCTGTGACACCACGGACATCCTGCAGATTCAGGATCGTTTTGTCTTGTTGATGCTTGGAGTCGTTTGGGAACAGTGAGTGTCGTGTGCTAGGATCTGAAGCGGCATTCGGAATCGGAGATCCACCTGAAAGCCCTGGAGACTCTGAGCAAGGCCGCTGGTGGGGAAGGCAAGGAGCAGAAGTCGGCGCCAGATGGGACGGTGCCGACCACGGCTCAGATGCACCTGGCTATAGATCTGCTGAAGACCAGCACGAGAGCGGGCCAAGGGGCATTGTTTGAAACATCATGTGCCAGACTTCGCAGGGCCGATCCGACCAACTTCCCGGTGGGTCGTAGCACCCGCAGCACATGGTCGCAGATCATACAAGCCGCTGCAGCCGTGGAACGTGACGTCGACCTGGAGCTGCTGACGCGATGCAGGGCCATCGGCTGGTCCGAGGTGCAAACACTTGTACTCTAAACGCTCAGGTCCCCCTGCCTGTGTGACTGATCAGAGGACAACTCGGGAGATGCTCGAGAAGTTCGAGTGAAGCTTGTCGAGGACGACTACACGATTCATCGCCGTCTGCTCTTCGTGGACGACCCGAAAGGACGAAAGGCTTCCAGACTGCTTTCAGAAGAGGTTGACACGAGCATCTTTGAGTGTGCTGCATTACTCAGGTTTCCTTGGACAAGGTCGACCTCGTCGAGGAGGCCTTGAAAAAGATCGTGCCGTCCGAGGAGGAGCGAACTGCGATCAAGGCCAAGGTGGTGTCCTTCACAGTGGACGGCGAGCCAGCTGAGGCTCTGGCCGGAAGACTGTTAAAGGCCGGGCTTCAATTCAGTCATGTTGGCCAGAACTTGCATCTGTCTAGAGACCAATGCAGGAGACGGGGGTCTTTCCGAACGTGCATGGACATTGATGTGTCTTGCACTCGGCGCAAAGAACCTTGGAGGCCTCTCTTCGGAGCGACCCAAGGGCAAACCACCTGGTGCAGGAGTTCGTGTTGAGATTCGGTACTGACGAAAAGAAGGACTACGGGTCGCTGGCAAGAGCCCTGAAGAACTCCAGCACCCTCAAGAATCACTTCAGCTCCTGTGTTCGAGAGGGTCTGCACTGCGTCTCCGAGCTGGCCGGTGCACTTCCCAGCCACACCTACGCCTTCCAGAGGTTTGACACCGTGTGTGAGTGCTTGAAGAAGACAGCGGCCTTCGTTCAGCCTCTCCGCACCTTCCTCATGCGGGAGGCTGTGGGGACAGGTCGTGCCAGTGCATGGGCAAGCAAGCTGCTCAAGGCTGGGCAAGTGTCGGGCGATTGAAATTCCTGACAAAGCTGTAAACTCAGGTGCTCTCGGAGCCCAACATGGCCTTGATGGCATTGCTTGCAGAATTCTCGGATGTCGTCAGACCGTTCGTGCACCAGTACGACACTGGCGAGTCGGTGCGGGCATCCACCTCGGCTGCTCGGCTCTGGCACAGCACACACTGATTAGCGAAGTCGTGAGCTTGTCGCAATCCCCACATCAATGCATCCAGGATCCGATCCGCTCCATTGCCGAGATGTCGCGGCTGGTTTTGGAGCTGAAGGAGGAGAGAATTGGAACTGAGCAGTGTCTGTTGTAGCAAAAATATTAGGATCTATAATTAGAGTATTCAACCATGCAGAGGCCCTGCACAACATGTTCGAGTTTGGCGAGGGCAGCGACGGACGGCGGAGGGCACCTCTGGTTCTGGACCCCAACTACACACACGGTTACGTGGCCATCCTGCGACACTCAGTAGGCTCGGATGTCTCGTGCACCTGCGGCTTGTGTGTGCGTGCGTCCGTGCTGTGTGTGTGCGTGTGTAGCTGTGTGTGTTTGTGTGCGTCTGCGTGTGCGTGTGCGTGTGCTTTCTGCATCGGTGGGGCTTGGTGCTGGACGTAGGACAAGAGGAAGCGACGGTGGCAAGCGGGCGTTTGCTGCAGCACGTGCCTGGCAGAGTCTCAGGCCTGTGCTACTAACTTGCTTAATAATAACTCTCGCGGAAACTGCAATGACAAGGCAAGGCCTTCGACGAACTCATCGTTCGCGAGCTGGGGACAATCCAAAACATGACCAAGGTCCTGCTGGCCAAGCTGGACCAAGAGCATGCAGCCGTTGGTCAAGCTTTCGCACCGTTCGACATTCTGTCCTGGAAGAAGGGGAGCACGGAGAGTGCACTGTAGCCTGTTTGACATTGTCCGTATGCCTGTCTGCGTACTTGCAGCAGGTGTGCGTGTGTCTAATTGCGAATGTTAATTGTGTCTGTGTGTATCATGCACGTGGTGTGCGATTGTCGTGCAAATGAGGCGAGACACTCTCAGGCCCCTCGCCGAGGCTTTGGAGGTGCCGCTGGAAGACTTGACTAAGGAGTTCCTGGTGGCCAGGCGAACAGCCGAGCACTATCAGAAGCGAGGTGACGTTACAATTTGGGCCTCGACAATGCGGCACTGGACAAGGCAGAAGATGCCAAATCTGGATCGAGCGGTTGCTTGGCAGCTGATTCAGCAGACTGCAAGACAAACCCATTAGTTCGGCCAGCTGAGGTTGTCTACATCTTGGCCACGTGGGCTTCCACTGCTGAGCTGGAGCACGGGTTCGCTCAGTACCGCTTGGTGGCCGAGGGAATCAAGAAATCCACCACCGAGGCCAACATCTTTTCCCAGCTGAAGGTCCTGTCGGACTTCCCATGTGCGGATGCCGTGTGCAGACCGCTGGTTCAACGACAACATGTGGACTATGTCGCAACGGTGCATGGCAACCGGACCCTGGTCAAATTTCGGCAGATGTTTGGCGGGGGCCGCAATGTGAGGAAGTCCGACGTGCCGCGGAGGACACTCAAGGACCGTCGGAAGAAGACAGGACGGGCGGGTGTTGACACACAGGGCAGGGGGCCGGGCTGTCAAACTTGCTTCAAAGTTTGCTGCAGGCTTCAGGGCCTTCGAGCGGCGGCGGACGGAGCAGAAGCAGGCCAAGCACGAGGTGCCTGCGGAGTATGCGAAAGAGCTGGAGCGGAAGAAGAAGAAGTCAGCGGACAAGAGGGCGACCCCAGAGCAGAGGACACTTCTGGAGAAGCTGCAAACAGACCGGGAGCAGAAGGTCAAGGCCTGGCAGGGCCGCTTGCCTAGCGACGGCAAGAAGCTGAGTGACCAGCTGCGGCTCGCTTGCAATCCAGTCACAGTCAGCCATGTCCATGGTTTAAATCATCTGATGTGCGTGGTGTCCAGGAAGACACGGTCAGAGAGAGACAAGAACATCAGCGAGATGGAGTCTCGCATGCTGACCGACGAGAACGTTCTCCATGGCAAGTCGGTGAGCATCCTAATGGCCACCGAAAGCAGCAGACACTCAGAGACAGTGAATGCACTGTCGCACCTGCCATCGATGACTGTCCGCTTCTTCGATGACGTGCTGGAGGTCGGGTTGGGAGAACTCTTGTGCCTCGGATGAGACTCTTCACTCAGTTTTCGTCATGGTTGTTCCGAGATTGCCAGTGGCTCAGGGCCGGCGACGTGAACGTGATCTGGGTGTTCCTGTCGCCGGGCCACCATGCTTCCTTTACTAACCCAGAAGGAGTGGGTGCTGCGATCGCCTGGTGCCCAAAGAAAGACGATAAGGAACTGGAGCGGGCTTTCGACTCGGCTCGGAGGCATTTGGCCCCTCGGCTGATTGGTGGTTTCGTGGCCGGCCCGAGTTGGCTGGCGCTGCATCTGAGCGGCGACAGAGCGACGGTTCGTCGCCCCGTGTTGCAGCTCCAGCCGGGATTGTGGAGGGACTTGGAAGTGGTGCTGAAGCTGCGGCTTGACTGGACGGGTGTTGCAGTTCTGATTTGAAGTCGAAGGAATCAGGGCTGAGACTTGTCTGTCTAGGCCAACAAGGCTGCGGGAGTTCTGCCTCCGGATCTACAACACAGCAATGGAGAGTCCACGTGGAGGCCTGGTCAGGTGGATCGTGAAGGATTCGGCGGAAAAGGTGTGTCCTGGCCAAGTTCAAGTCGAGATAAGTTGAAGGACACATGGTTTAGCAGGTTTGAACTGAAGCTGCTGCGTCAGAGGACAAGAAAGAAGGGCATCGTCGTCGGCCTCCAAAGTAACAAGACTAAGACGAGCGTGAAAGATGCGGTTCGTGGACAGCGTGCGTCTCTGGACAACTTTTTGATGATCATCAGCCAATGGCAGTGAGCCGGGTTTGAGGTGACCTCGCCCGAGCATCAGCCGATGGCAGTGAGCTGGGTTTGAGGTGACCTCGCCCGAGCGTTTCACTGTCGACAACGTCGTCTTCGGATTAAAAAAGAGCTGCGTGGTGCAGACCAGGGCCCGAGCTGCATGGTTTAATCAGTGTCGATGTCAGTCGCTGTCTGTATCGGATCCAACATGGTCATCCACAGCCCGAAATGACCTTCAGCCTTTCAAGGCTCGAGCAGAGGCAGTCGTGCTCCGGCGGCTGCTCAGGGAATTTGGTGACAGCGGGTTTGAGGCGACCTCGCCGGTCTTGTCCGAATTTGGTGACAGCGGGTTTGAGGCGACCTCGCCCGGTCTTGTCCAACATGGCGCCCAAGGGGCCCAAGGGGCCCAAGGCGAATCCGAAGGCCCAGGCCAAGGTGAAGATTGAGAAGGAGGAGGCAGCCAGACCTGCGTCGAACGAGGTGCTGCCGTTGAGGAGCCAGGGCTGGTCGGAGGTGGAGAAAGCCAAGGCGGACCTGGAGAAGTGGAAGGTGTGGCCAACCACAGGCTTGGATGTAGGGGTGAGATTTGAACAGCTGCAGATGACCAAAAAGTGATTGATTGCAGGTGCAAAGGCAAAGGCCGGCACAGGGCCTCCGCCCATTCCCAAGGGCTGGACCGGTGCCGACGGGGAAGGCATGTGCACCTTCACATGCACCCTCGCAGACATCGACGTCTCCAGCCTGGGCACAGGCTTGGCGTCTAGCGTTTCGGCTTTAGGGTTCGAGCTTCGGATCCCTGCCGAAGGCAGCACATGGCCGACGGCGTCGGAACTTCATTGCTGTCAGCAGTTCTGGTACGACAGGGCGGTGGACCAGATCCCGCCGCTTCCCCCGCTGCAGTGCGTCTATGGTGCAAAAACGCGAAGGCCCAAAGTAAGTAGTGCAGGCTGCTTCTGAGTTTTCCTTCCTTGGCCTGCAGGGGAGAGTTTCAGCCGCTGGGCAACATGACTCGTGTCGGCGCCATGATTCTGGCCTGGCATAAAGCCCAGAAGGATGATGGCTCCGAGAAGCTGAAAGCGAAGTTCAGAGACCTCGCACACAGCATTCACGTGGAGCTGTTGTCGACGAGCGGGACCAGCGCCAAAGATGCATACTGGTTGGTGCACCAGAGAGGAGAAGACTGCATCCAAACGATGGCCGAGGATCCTGCAACACCACGGAGTTTCATGTGAGCATTGAGCATCACACTGACCTTGCTGCAGGAGGGGAACCATCTGGGATTGAGACTGGCGCAGAAGCTCGAAATGCGTCTCGTTTAAAAATTTACAGTTTACATGATAATTAATGAAGAGACAGGAGACTCAGTGTGTTGCAGCTCTGCAGCAACCGAGGCTGCGTGCCACCAACATATCCTTGGGACTGCCGGCCACTGCCAAGGACATATTTCTGGAGTTTGAGGAGCGAGAGAAGCAGAAGCTCACGACCTTCGGGTCGACTGATTCGAAGGCGAGTCGAGATGCTGTCTCGGTCCACTGTAGTAGCTACTCAATGACTCAATGCCATTATGCATGCCTGGACCCAGGTGCAAAGCGTGGACCAGGTTTCCCGCCTCCTCAGCTTCCTCGCCAAAACTGTGCAGGCGGGTGTCACCGATATCTTCCAGAATCTTCAAATGATGAACAAACAACTGACGGCCTTCGCGAAGTGGAGCATACTGGTGAAGATGCCATGCCCCGATGCAGCATCCATCGCCTGGGTCGGCCGTGTCTTGCCTAGACGACTGCTGCTGGTGCCGCAACATGTCATTGAGAGTTCATGACAAGTGCATTCTGAGCCAAGGCATCCTCGGCATCGCGGCCTTCGGTGTCGGAAGCAAGAGCGACGAGGAGATGCGGTGGGCTTCGGAGCTGCCGCTGATGACGAACTTCACCAAGGACGGCGACTGTGAGTCCGCGTGGTTGCAGTGTCGAAGAGCCAGCCCTGCACAGGAGACGTTGGTCGAGCACTGCAAAGCTCTGCTGTTTGCGCAGGAGCTCGTGCTGCATGTGGCCAAGGAGTGTGGTGACAACAAGACCTTGGCGGCCAAGTTCGGGGACATGGCTGCCTACCTGAACGACCCCGCGATCGACATGTTCGGGATGTCGCAACATGACGTGTCGGTGCACAGTGTCTGTCAAGACTTGGTGCGGGGCTCCCGACACAAGGAGATTATTGCTCTGAGAGTCTATGAACCGAGGCACCCTAACAACCAATTTTTATTAAAGTAAGGACCAGGAGACGCTGCTAAAGTTTGGTGTGTCATCCAATGGATTTGAGCCGGGTTTGAGGTGACCTCGCCCGAGCCAGGCTAAACTTTGGTGTGTCAGTCATTCAATGGACCGCTGGACGTGAGCCGGGTTTGAGGTGACCTCGCCCGAGCCAGGCTAAAACTTTGGTGTGTCAGTCATTCAATGGACCGCTGGACGTGAGCCGGGTTTGAGGTGACCTCGCCCGAGCAAAGCCATTTCATGACTTCCTTCGGTCTGTCCGTGCGTGCATGCTTCTGTTCACCTCCGAGAGGAGTGCCTCGCAGCGGTGCAAGCACATCCTCGGGGAAGCTTTGCAGCCCGCCGGAGTCATGACAAAATCTGCAACTTCCTTGATGCACCTTTGAAAGCGCGACTCATCTGAAGACCAACAACGAGCCCTAAACCCTAAAGCCAATGACTCATGTTGTCCAGTCTTGCCACTACAGGTGGCGACAGGCCCAGAATGCACCGGCTGTGAACGTAGAGGTGGCTGAGATGAAGCCTGCGGACGGTCAGCAGGAGGAGCCGGAGGACTGCGAGATGACCGACATCGCGAAGAAGGAGGCCGACGAGAGGAAGAAGGAGGCCAAGAGACAGCAGGCTTTGAAGAGCACGGCCGTGTCCGAAGTCGGACACTACGTCAAGTTTGTCGTGGGCGACATCAGCGATGCGAAGACGACACTGTCGTCGGTGGGTCCGATAGTGGCGGCTCTGCCCGCCGTGGGCAAAGAGGAGACCAGAGTGACGTGGTACGACCCTGCGTTCATGGCAGAGCCCAGTGCAGCTCAGCTGAAGTCGAAGTCTGAACATGCACAGGGGGTGGAGCGGGGCGCATTGAATGACATGACTCAGGAAGCGTTCACGAGAACGCACAGTGTGTACCAGAGGGCCGCTCCGATGCAGAAGCAGACGTTCGACGGCAGCCTGCAGCTGTTCAGCGGCCTCAAGCAGAACAGGGACCAGGACGTGCCTTTGATGATACAAAAACCAGGGTCTTAGGTCTTGAATCTGAATGCCATGCATCATGACATAACTTTTTAACTGCCCGCCGAGGTGTACATCTGTTTCGATCAAGGCCAGCAGAAGGCAGCGACGCACTTCAGATTGTCTTTGGCAAAGTCCAAGATCGGAAGGGTTCAGGCTTGGGATCTCATCCCGAGATCGCAAGCAGAACTCGAGAAGAGACAGTCGTGGCGGTTCGGTGACGTGGACGATGAACAGCACCTTGGTTCAATTTAACCCTCCGTAGCGTGAGCAGAGCGAGCATCTTGATTGAATTGGGGCAGGTCTCCACAGAAGCGCCGCCGGAAGTTCGCTGCCGGACATCTCCAGGCCATCGTCGGGAAGGAGACGGCCTACTTCCTGAAGGAGGGCGACCCGGTGCCTTCGAGAGAGCTGGCCTTCCTCAATGCGGGACCTGGCTCCGACTCTGCGGCCGGATGGTTGCCAGTGCCTCTCATGAACCCTTCCGAGCTGTACCCCCTCGTCACCAAAGCCCTGAAGTTTCAGGCCAGGTCAGAAAACATGTGTGCCGTCGGTTCTGCGTGAACTTGCCTCGACAGATCCTTGGCATGAAGCCGACGAAGTCCAAGGAGAAGTCGCAGAAGGGATCCCTTTTGGACGACACGAACTTTGAAAATCACATGAGCGACATCACCGACGAGGCCGGGGTCCCAAGAGTTTCTGCTCTTGTAGCCGTGGTTTTGGCACTAATGCTTCAGGAAATGCTGCCCCTGAACTACTACCAGAAGCACAAAGTGCTCTATGCAGAGCTGATCCAACTCCTTGGAGCCAGCCAAATCGTGGCCACGACGCCAGAGTTCGGGCTTCTCATGCAGTGCATCGAAAGCCGAGTCTTCACGGACGACTGGTCTGCATCAAGTTTCCTGCTTCTGTGTTCTTCATGTCCGTCCTGGCACACAGTGTCACCAGACCCAGGTTGCGATCCTGAGCTGTGCCGACCACGTCGCGGTGCTCAGAGAAGCTCTGGAGAACCAGGTGCAGAAGCAACTGGAGGTGAGCACCTCTAAGAGGTTCTTCCGCCAGGAGCTGGCCAAGCAGCAGCAGCATGACTCAGGCAACGAGAGTATCCAGTGCCTCGGCCCAGTGAACTGCGAGCTGCTTTCTCCCACTTCGCTTCAACAGACTTGTCCTGGTCCTAACCCTAAGGCCGCCGAAGACCGAGCCGGCCGAGACAAGCAGCAGGAAGAACTCGCTTGTTGATGAGGCCAGCGGCTCTGGGTCTGGGACCAGTGGATCAGAAAACGAGGACTCGGCCGCCGAGGACTGAACTGCCGCTCTCTGGACAACAGCTGCCGATGCTGTCGAATTTTAATTGTCGCGGGCACTGTCATTACGGCAGTGTCCATTTTAATTTCTCTGTCAAGGCCCGGCGCAGGGTCGTATTTTCCATGGATGAAGCTGCGTCGCACTGGCAGAACACGTGAATGGATGCAGCAAGCTAAGACCGAGTCACATGATGGTGCCAGTGCGGTCATGCAGTGCATGGCCGACCGAGTCTGTTTGCTGATGTGGCGGCCTCAAACAGGTTAAAATTTAAATGACTGCAGCGACAGTGATAGCAGGCAGGCTCGAGTCGCCATCATCAGCCGAAAGACGTGAGCCGGGTTTGAGGTGACCTCGCCCGAGCATCAGCCGATGGCAGTGAGCTGGGTTTGAGGTGACCTCGCCCGAGCGTTTCACTGTCGACAACCTCGTCTTCGGACCGAAAAGGAGTTGCGTGGTGCTGCGGGGTCCATGTCACTTGTCGACTGTGAAAGCCTCGGAGTCAGCAGCATGCAGTAACGTCGTTCATCCAGACACCATACCCTGCAGAGGCTCAAGTGCAGCAAGCAGCAGCAAGCAATCCAACGAGTTTGCGGTGACCTGCCCGATCATGTCGAACAAGGAAGCCGAAGCAGTGAGGCCAACAAAAAAAGCTCGCAGGGATCCGTGGAGCGAGATGCCAGCCGAGTTTGTCCCAAGCTCCCAGGAGGAGGACTCAGGGAAGGGTCACATCAAGGATGTGGAAGACTACAAGTCCAGCCTCCGCCTAGAATTGAAAAAGCTTGGCTTTGCCATGCTGCGGGCTGCTCGGGCCGCCGCTCTGGAACCCTCGAAAATTCCTGACTTGCAGGTGCAATATCTGCAGGCGCAGTCCTGCCGGGCAGGCTTGCAGACTGCCTTGAAGCAACTTATGTTTGGTGCGGACCGAGAGGCAGTGGAGACAAAGGTGTTTAACATTTTGAGCGAAGCCCGCAGATGCTGCACGGCCATCAGAAGCATAGGCCGCACTCGCTGGAAATAGGTTTGCCGCTTTTTAAGCCCGATTGCACCCAATTAATTTTCTGAATATTAATTAATCAGCCGGCGTGCCTACCGAGTCTGCTTTGTTGCTTTAAACAAGCCCCTCTTCTGGCTGTGAGTGACACACTAAATTAAGATGCCAAGCACCTCTACCGATGCTGACTCGGGTTTGAGGTCCCCTGGCCTGAGCTTGTTTCTGTCATTTGCTGTCAATTCTCGCGTCATCGGACTCCGATGAGGAGTCCTAGGCAGAGCAGTCTTCACCCGGCAGGCCGCGAGTGGGCGATTGCTTTGTCGCTTGGGTTGCTAGTTGCACCCGGACACTGTCTGGCTTGAAAGAACCTTGCCCTGAAGCCCGTGCGTCAGAGTAGTTTGGCTCCAAGGGCAAGAAGCAACAATGGTCGAGCCGGCAGTAACAAGACTGATGAGCGGAACCGAGAAGGGCAGAAAACGTCCGGAACCGAGCAAAACGGCAAAATCGCCAAGGGCCTGCAGCACAGAAGCACCCGGGCCGTCCCAGGCAAACTGCAGGACCTGCGAGACCAGGACATCGGGGCTTGCATTGGTGACGGAAAGTTGAAGGCCACCGGTTGTTGCACGGGTGACAGATACTAGACACTGAAGCCGAGCAGACAGTCAGGTGCCTCCGGGACAAGTCATGGAGCTCTGGGACGGAGTCAGCCATTTCTCCCACAGTGCGAAGAAAATCAAGGTCAAGAAGGGCCAGCCGGCACCGTGCCACTTGCCTCTCAGCTAAATTTAAAGTTTCTCGCTGCAGGCACTTAACTTAGATTTTGCCGCTCCTGAGGCGACTCGGGCTCAAGAACGATCTGTCTGTTACTGCGGAGACAACTCGCCTGAAAAATCTTTGCAAGGCATCCCATGCACTGGAACTTGCATATGTGCAATGCTCAGCTGTCCTGTAGCTCACAGCCCAGTGTCCCTGAGGTCTTATGCAATATGATCTCGGACCAGATCTCACAGGCGGCCACCCTGAATCAGGGCAGCCAGAAGGACCTTCGGAAGTTGCCTGGCAGCCAAGGTTTTTTGTCGTGAAGGCACAGGAAAACACGTGAGTCCAAGGACTTTCCGTTTCAACAGCATCCAGGTGTTCTGGATCGGTGGTCCCGGGATTGCGGGTGCCAGCAGCCTGCGTACAATAAAGACGGATTCCCCCGTCTTGGTTCTGTCGTCGCAGCCGAAATTGACACTGTGGAGCTGGACAAGTGCATCGGTGCCGATGCCTGCCGAAAGCTTGCGAGGTGGCGGAGAGCAGCACTTGTTGGAAAAGCCCTTGCTTCTGGACGGCCGGGTGCCATTTACTTTCTTGAAGCCTGAGGCCTCCCCGTCCGACACCGACAAATCCCAACTCAATGAGGGGTTCATCCTGCTGGCTAGCACTGTTCCGGGCGATGTGCTGGAGGAGCACTACGGTCTCTTGAAGGAACTTGGGTTCGCTATGGAATCGGCTGCGGAAATGACCCGCCTGCCACCTGGCATGGCGACTGACGGTCAGTTGATTAAGGCTGCTCAGAAGATCTTTCGCAGCTCGCATGCACATGTTGATGAATGCTGTGCCTCCTTGCATGTTTTCTATTGGCGTCCTGTCAGCTCGAGGTGACACGATGGTCAAGGCAAAAGATCCCAAAGGAACTGGCTGGTGCCAGTACTGCGAATGTGAAAGCTGTCGGGCCAAGCAGGGCGAGAAGAAAGCAAAAGAGGAGAGGAAGGCACTGAGAAACGCCAAGAAGGCTAGCAAAGGCAAGAAAGAGAAAAAGGAGAAGAAGGCCAAGAAGTGAGTCTCAGGGGCGTCCTAGTTTTGGTGACTGTGACTGGGTTCGAGGTGACCTCGCCCAGTTTCATCATCCCAAGCACTGCTGAATAGCAGTGGTAGCCTAGCTGTTAGCGCACGGAGGGGGATTTGTGCCACGATCTGCTCGCAACATGGCCGCGACAGGACAATGCGACGTCATCATCCTTGGACGTTTTGTGCAAATGTCGCTGTTCCTCAGCCTTTGTCACGCGCTGTGACAGTCAGTCTCACTCCGAGCCCCTTCGCACACTCCCCGTGGCACCATGGCCCACGGATATGCTGCTCTGCCAGTCGGGGCAGTCAAGGGCAGCATGTTCCATTGCTGCAGCACGAAGCAGGGTGCAATGGTGGGGATGCAAAAGCTGGAAGCACGGAAGTTGCTTGTTGGCAAAACTTCATGCACTGTTCTATAATACTGACGGCGGCAATAATTAATCGATTAATCAGGCTTGGGCTGACGGCCACCCTGACGGACGAGAGCACGAAAGTGAGCCGCAAACGCAAGCTCGAGGTGTGTTCAGAGGCCCGACGCCTTTGGCAGACTCCTGTCTATGAGATCGTGGAAGCCAAGGTGGAGGACATACAGCGTGCTTTCGAGGAGCATATCTACTTGCCGTGCAAGGACAAAGCCGGCCATTTCAATTTGTCGACCAACGTTCTGCTCGACTTGAAGCGCTACCCATACGTCAAGCTGAGCGTCTTCAAGCTCAACCTGAACATCGAGATGGAAAAGCCCAATGAAGGCTCGACCAACACACCCACATGCCCCTAAAAGCTCAGAACCTGCTCTGCCTTTTTGCCCTTCTCTCACAACGTGTCAGGTGCGTTCGTTTCGCAATTATAGTCGTCTAAAGATCCAGCAGCCCATGTCCACATCTCACAAAAGTCCCTCAGGAACGTGGCGCTTCTTCCGCCTCCTCGGCCCGGACCAGGATGTCGTGGCGGAGATCATCAAGCTGAACCAGCCGAGCCCGGTCGGCAGGAAAAGCAGCGGTGGCAAGAAGGCGGCGTCCAAGCCCGTCATGCTGTTTTCCCGACCGGAGCTGGCGATCTTGCTGGCCTTCGTCATGGCGAAAGGCGTGAAGCACGAGTTCACCATGGAGTTTTTGTGGTCCGACACGTTGCCGCCACTGGACTACGTCGATCGCCGCGGCTCGCCGATGTTGGTGTCTTTGCAGCACTGCATCGAATTATGCCTAAGTCGACCGTAGCCCAAATTTTTTGCTTGTCACCTTGGCCATTAATTCAAGGAGTTCTGGCATGGGACCAACGAAGACGCTCTGAATGGCATGCAGCGTCGCAGACTCGAGTGCAAGCTGGTGTGGACGGAGACCGACCACACCGACTACGAGTGCTTGACCCTGCAGCAGGAGGCGAAGAGAATCAGGAGAGGGATCCGAGGGATTAGCGACCAGATCTCTTGTCTCCAGGAGCGGAAGGCTGACCTGGAAGCGCTCCTGTCGCAAAAGGAACAGGAACAGGGACACAGCGCTCCAGGGCAGTTCCAGAACCTGGATGTCGTCCAGGAGGAGGACTCCGACTCCGGGGACTGCTGAGTTCTGAGGGACGCTGCTGAAGGCAGCCGACAGGGTTTGTTGAGGTGACCTCGCCCTGTCACAGCCGCTCACCTTTTCCGGGTTTGAGGTGACCTCGCCCATACACAGCCACTCAGGGTTTGAGGTGACCTCGCCCTGTCACAGCCGCTCAGCTTTTCCGGGTTTGAGGTGACCTCGCCCGGTCACAGCCTCGCCCTGTCACAGCCGCTCAGCTTTTCCGGGTTTGAGGTGACCTCGCCCGGTCACAGCCTCTCAGGGTTTGAGGTGACCTCGCCCTGTACAGCTTTTCAGGGGTTGAGGTGACCTCGCCCTGTCGCATCTTCGCAGTGTCGCACCTTCTCGATTTGCTCGCGAGAAAACACTGGGTGGGTGCATGCTTGCCTGCCTCGGTGCTAACTGCTAAGGCTAGTGCATGTCGTGACATGATGTTATGCATCCGAGGCTGTCCTGGTGCCCCCTTCGCCCGAAGCGTGAGATGCCGAAGGCAGGGGACCATCTGCAGTCACACAGTCAGTCGTCGAGTGGCCGGATTCCCACCATCACATAGCCACCACAACCACCACTCCTGCCCCGACTCAACCTCAAAACCGAAAGCTCCTGCAGCAGGTGGCGCTCTGAGCCGGCGTGCCTACCGAGTCTGCTTTTGTGCAAAAAGATGGCTCTCTTGTGGCGGTGAGTGACACACTATAATATGGCAAGCACCAAAACCATAAAAAAAGAGTGCGCTTTTTGTGTACTTGTAAACTCAACAGCCTAGTATATGTATGCACATCTACAGTATGTAGATGTATTGGTCTGTGTGTGCGCGCATTGACGTATAAGTTGCATCCGCATTACTACAGTAATTATGATGGACCCCAAAAACCCATTCTATGCATTTAGCCCTATTTGTTAAGGCCCCTGTGTTGTTCCTAGCTTGAAATCCTCCTAGTCTCGGCCCTTCCGTCTGCAGGAGAACGAGAAAGACATACGACAATACAAGCTGTTCCTGCTTCAGCAGCCTCAGCGATGCGTACGCAAGCGTGTCACAAGCTTGCTGCCGGTCGCCCGCACTGGTACGGGGTAGCTGGGTCACAGACACGTCGAGCTAAAAGACAGAGGCTGTTCAGGGATAACCAAGGATCTGCAGCCAAGATCAATCATGGCTTCCGGTTCAGATCCACTTGGGCTTGAGCCGACGAAGCATTGACACAGAGGCTGTTCAACTCAGCTTGCTACCCCACTGTCACAACCGGCACCACCATTTTCGAAGATGACGACAACGACTAATAACACCAATAATAATTACAAGAAGAAAAAAGATAATACTTCCCATTTTTTCAGTCAGGACTAGCAGCACGAGGACGTCTGCGCCAACGTTTGAGAGAGCAGCATTGATAGCGGCTGTTTAAGTCGTCCTGTCAAAGACCAAGACAGAACATCAATGTTGGCTGTACTGTGTGCAGTTCATGGATACATGCGGGGCAAGAGCGACAGCAGCACCTGCAGCAGGCTGTCGCACCAGTGCTTACAGTCGCAACCATATTGAAGCTGCTCTTCACAGCAACCTCAGGTGGTACACGCAGCAGAGTTTGTCATAACCGGAACCACTGACCGTTAGATATCGAATGTTCTGATAGTGAGTGTGAACTTATATCCCAGAAGTTCTCCGACACCCAAGCACATGTGCAACCTCGAAGCGGCGCCTAGGTGGCAGACGTTTTACAACGTGGTCCGCGAGAAATGTGCCAAACTCCGGCAGCAGCCAGATCGCCGGAAGAAGGTGGGAGGACCAGAGCCGACGCCTTTTACTATAGGGGCCTCACCAATTACCTATACTATTTTGGGGGGTCCCTTAATTATTATATAAAAAGTCAAATTTCCCCAAAACCCTATGCTAATTATCAAGGCCCTATATACCTTGCCCTTGGGATCGTCGTTTATCGTGTGGTGCGTGCGATACATTCTCGGAGTGAGGAATAGCTTGCAGAGAGCAGTTTTGCCCGGAGTGGGACCGGGTAGACTGGAGAGGGGTTGCGCATACGTTGGGGTCTAATTAAAGTACTCTAGGCTACTACTCTACCACTACCAGAATCTAGCCTATTGAAGTCCAGTGCCAAAGCTAGAGCTTCATTTGGACCTCAGCTTCCCTCCAAGATCTTCCATTATTATTGTGAGTACATCGTAACTACTGTTCTAATTATATTGTTAAGTTCAATGTCGCCATTACCATTATGATGATGTTTAGTGTTGCTTAGTACTAGCATTGCTGAGAGGTTAACGGGGCCTTGTGGCCCTATGTAGCGCGTGAAGGAAGCACCAGAATTTTGTCAACATTCCTGGACCCTCCATCTACCCTCAATTAGACCCTAACTGCCCCTTATTTGGACCATATACCCCTATTTGAGGGTACAAGGAGGGTCCTGGTTGTTGTGTGCCGATAGGCCAATGGAGACGGATCGAACTCGTCGCGGGCCGATCTGGAGGCTCTCTGCAAGTGGGTTTGAGTACTTGGAGTTATAAGTGGTCAAAACGGTTTAGGGTTGAGGGTTTAGGGTTTAGGGAAAAGTACAGCTACCTTGTTTATGACCTTAGTGACTAAGTCCCGTGATCCTCCAAGTATCGGTTCTTCGGAGTGCCTCATCATCTTTACGAGCTTTTGTTCACGCCACTTGCACTCGACGTGCAAATCATTGCTGCCCTCAGGCTAGAGCCATTCTTAAAGCCGGTGGTGATGATTTTCACAAGAGTGGCTGCGGTCCAGCCCTGGTTCAGTTGTGTTTCAATAACGGCCACTGCTTCAGTCTGACAGCCATCTAGCAGGTTCGGTTGTCTGTCCGACATCTTACGGACTAGTTGAGTCATGTGGGTGTTCTTCGGATTAAAGTGCCCGTACAGTCAGGGAATCTTCCTGCACGAGGGCCCTTCCTCGTCACGACCACCACCCCAGCTACTGCCACCACTAATGTGTCCAGCCAAACATTCATCATCATCAGCACCACCACAACTATCGTGCTCACCAGGCCGATTTCAAGGTGGCTCTGGAGGAAGCCGAGACCTGCCTCCAGTACCTCGGCTTGGGGTTTAGGGTTCGGCATGTAATGTCTCTGGGAATGACGACTATTCATTTGGATGGAGTCAGCCTTTACTTGCAAGTGAAGGTGAGTTCAGAAAACTGACACGAAGCTGACATCTCCCAGCCCATGGACTCATCCGAGGCAATTATATCCTGTGCGGTGTTGAAGGTTTTGGATAAAGGGGGCAATGCCGGACAGCTTCCTGTGGTGTGAGCTGACAGAACTGTCACATCCGAAAGCTCCTCTTTCGTAAGGTGCAAGTTTGAGGCGCGTCAGTGATAGGGGACCGAGCATATCTTGCCTCCGAATAAGCATAGCTTCATTGCGGCTTAAGCTTACGACTTGCATCGACGCTGCGGTTGAAGGCTTTAGGCTAAGAACTTTGTCTTTCCGGTGTTTTCTGAGGTTGAAGTTTAGGCTCAGGGCTTGGGCCAAGCGCTGGTGGCATATCAGCACAGGTTTCAGGTGCTGCGGCAGCAGGGGCCAACGGCTGTGAGGTTTGGATGTGGGATTCCCTTGAGCAGGACAAGTGTTGGACATAATTGATGCCACAAGGAGTAAATAGTAAGCCTGAAACCGGAAGACATGGTGTGCTCCGAGGCATATATGCACGGAGGTGCGGGAGAAGGTCGAGTCTGCGGACACCTCCGAAGAAGATGCGGAACGCCTGCAGGTGCTCCATGCATCACTTGAGGGTCAGCGTGGAGGTGTGGGTTCACAGACACGAGGAGGAGAAAACTACAGTACAGTATGTTTTGAGGATCGGGCTTGACTCAGAGTGCTTCCTTTGTCGCCTTACGATGAGCCTTTTCGACTTCGTGCACCCTTGAATAGATTCCACAATGCACGTGCCTTGAAAAAAACGAGTCGCTCAACACCAACGGTGTATGTGGCTGGTTTGGTACTCTACGCACCAAATCCACTGTCCGGAAATTTCGGCGCCAAGTCGCGGTCGAAGTAGCACCGGGGATTGAAATGTTCAGACAGGTATGGTTTTGCTTCCATCAGCAACAGCATCATCGGCATCATCTACATCACCATCACGGTCCGCACAATCGTAGCCATCTCATCATGGTGAGCCGACGCCGGTTCAAGGCCTCGTAGGCACATCGTCTAGGATGTGCGGCTTTGCTATTCTCCATAATCCCTGGACTCTGTGCAGGGCTGTTCTTTTGGTGCTCTTTCCTTGATGCACAATCGTCTGTAAGAGTCCATGTACCGATGTGCAACTAGTCTGTACTTTTACTTGAACGGGAAGTAGTCTGTACTTGTACTTGATAGAGAAGGGGTTTATACAGTGTAGAAACCCTGATTAAATCATAAATCCCTGAACCTTAAACCTTACAGTATATGTATATATACATGTGTATATATATATATATATATATATATATATATTTGTTGTTTTGTTTATTGATTCAGTTGTTTATACATATGTGTACATATGCCCCAACTCTGTCACACATGCCCCAACTCTGACATGGCAGGCCCACCGGGAAATTTTGGGCCACCTCTGCATCATGCTGGCAGATCTGGAGCTCTCGAGTCTTCTGGGTTTCCTAGGGTTCTTCTTCAGGGTTTAGGGTTTAAGGAGTTCAAGGGGTTTTCTAGGGGTTCTATAAGGGCTTAGGGTTTAAGATTTCAGGTTCATGGTTTCCTGGGTTGTTGTCATAAGAACTTTTCATTGGAGTTATCATCATAGGGATCTGTAAGTTCCTTTAAGGCGTAAGTTATGGTGCTGGGTCTTCCTGGGGTCTTGCTATAGGGATTTGTTAATTGTAGTTATCATGATAGGGAACCATCAGGGTTCCTTTAATTAAGGCTTAAGTTATAGTAATAATAATAATAATAATATTAATACAGAAGTCTGTAGTAAATATAATCTGGTCTCTTGTTCATGCCATACATTAAATCATAATTAAATCCCTTAACAAGAGCCCAATTTCAGAGTCAAGTGTAGGGTTCAGTGGGTTTAAGGGTTGGCAGGTCGGAAACCCTAAACCCTAAACCCCTAAACCCTACGCCCTAAACCCTAAAGCCCTAAAGCCCTAAGTTTGTTTGGAGTTTTGAGGTTTGCCAACCGCCCAAGACCGTGAACCTCAACAGCCCCGAATCCGACTCAACCGAAGTATTTGGGAGTTTCCGAAAATTAGGGGTACCTTTTTTGGGGATCCTTATCATAAGGATCCTATTATTTAGGGTGCTATATTAGGGTCCCCTATTTTCGGAAACTCCCATTTAGATCCGGGTTCAGCGCTCTTGATGATGGGCAGCCTATATAAACTGTATAGTGGTATGAAGATAGCTTGGCCGATCTGAATTCAAGCCACGCTCCTTTCGCATCCAGAGCAAGAAACCCCCGGATTCTTGTTTCAGCCTTCTTTCCTCAAGCCTCATACATTAAGTCCTGAACCGCAAAGCGTGCCAGGTTTTTGCAGATTTAGAACCTTACAGGTCTGATACTCCAACCCTTTAATAAACCACTGAACCCTCCAACTCCAACAACCAAGCATGACCAGGGTGTAGTGGGTAAAGGCCCGCAGGCCAACTCCTAAACCCCTAAACCCGAAACCCTAAACCCTTAAACCCTAAACCTACGTTTCAAAATTTGGGCCATAGGGCTCTGTCGAGCACCCGCCCATAGGCCCCAAAGTAGTTCCTTTTTGGGGTTCCCTTATAGGCTTCTAAATATGAAACCCAAAAAGGAAGTACTTCTGTTGATGATATAAATCCTGCATGACCCAGAATAAGGAATATGCCATAATTCCCATATATTCCTTATTCTGCGTAATGCGGGATTTATATCATCAACCCTCAACCCTAAAACCTAAAACCCTATAGATCCCTTAAAGGTATATACCCTTATATCATCAACCGTTTGGGGCCTTAGGGGCAGACCCTGAAAGCCCCCGAAACCAGCGGGAGCCCGGGATCCCAAAGTCCTTGGAGCCGTCATAGCCTAGTTGAGGGTTTAGGGTTTAGGGAACCCTAAACCTTAAACCCTAAACCCTATTAGGGTTTAGGGTTTAGGATTTAGGATTTGGGATTTAGGATTTAGGATTTAGGGTTTAGGGTTTAGGGTGTAGGATCTAGGGTTTAGGGGCTTAGGGCTTTAGGGTTTTAGGGATCTCCCCCTGTGTCGTATGGACCTCCATCGTATCTATGTATACCTACGTAGATACTTTGGCCACGAAGGGATCCTTTAAAGGGATCTATAGGGTTATCTATAGGGTTCCTTTAAAGGGATCTATAGAGCTTATAGGGTATATTGGTGCTTTGGACGCAAGTGTTACATTAATCGTTATGTAGTGGCCTGAACAACTGCTAGTTAGTGCTATTCCTTCGGGTTCCCTCTTATTCGTATACTGGAGTATGCCCCAAAACCCTTTCGAACTAGTAAGACCGCCGTGTATACTACTGCTGCCGATCCACCGTGAACTCAGTGTTCTGCTTGGCACCTATGTGAAAGCGCCCCTACACCCGAAACTCTATACAGTGTGCTGAGCATTTCGAAGAGGGTTCGGGGCCCATAGCATACACTATCGCGGGCGAGAAATGCGAGTATAGCTCCCATGTATTCAGACCCCGTCTCTGCTCCAAGTTAATACATGTAAGCCTCAGGCGCCCGAGAGCCCAACAATGCACAACATCTAAGCCATCACTCTCAGCCCGAGAGTCAAAACCCTCAAGGCCTTATGGTACGCCGTAGCTCGTGTAGTCATAGTTGGGTATAGTAACCCTGGTAGATGCCATAGAGCGACATTACGGACCAGTATATGATACAACATACTACGAAATACCAGAATACAGCATAATGTAGTATTTCATAATATGGTGTAACGTAAGGTAAGTAATATATAGTATAGTATATCATACTACAACAGCACACAGCACAACATACTACCATGCAACATTGCATTTTGCAATACAATTCAATAAAACACGTTGCTATAATATCATACAGGCCACTAAATCACAACAGTTAACTAGAGCTTTCATCTATCATCATGTTTCATTTTTAAGTAGACACACATTCTGATGTGAGTTTATGTGCCATTACACCACGCATATGTACATACACATGCATATTTGTGGTAGGTTCCCTTAGAGAAGCACTGGGACAAACTTACCTTCGGTTAGTAGGGAATGGAAGAATGGTAGTAATAGTAGTTATATTATACCCCATTTCTCCATTCCCTACTAACCAAAGGTAAGTATCCCTTTAAAAGAACCCTAGACCCCTATAGATCCCTTTAAAGGAACCCTATAGATCCCTTTAAAGGAGCCCTATTCCCTACTAGCCAAAGGTAAAGCAAAACCTGCAGGAGCGCTACCGGGCCATGTCTGGCTCGTGCGACTCCGAGGCCGCGCTCGCGCGCGCGGACAAGTTGTGCCCGGGCATCGTCGTCGGAGTCATAGTTGGGGGTTTCCGAAAGTTAGGGGTACCTTGTTCTTGTTGGTTGTAAACTCAACTTTTCAACTTTTGGGGTTCTGATAATTCTGGTAGTCGATTCTGAAAGTTTCAACTTTTATTTCAGGGGGTTTTGGGCCAGTGAGTATTTAGGGTACCATATTAGGGTCCCCTATTTTCGGAAGCTCATAGTTTGGGGTTTAGGGAGTCATCATAGTATAGCAGCAGAAGCAGAAGTACTGGTTGTTGTAGTAGTAGTAGTACTAGGAGTAGGAGTAGGAGTAGGGGTAGTAGGAGTAGTAGGGGTAGTAGGAGTAGTAGTAGTAGTAGTAGTAGTAGTAGTAGTAGTAGTAGTAGTAGTAGTAGTAGTAGTAGTAGTAGTAGTAGTAATAAGCAGTAGTAGTAGTAGGAGTAGGTAGTAGTAAGCAGTAGTAGTAGTAGTAGTAGTCGTCGTCGTAGTCGTATTGGTAGTGGTAGTCGTAGACATTCGGGTTTCTCGTGTGATGGGTTTGGGGATATGGGAGTTTCCGAAAAAGGGGGTCCCTAATACAGTACCCTACCTAGTAGGATCCTTACTATAAGGAGCCCAAAGTAAGGTACCTCTGATTTTCGGAAACTCCCATTGAAGTCTTGGGTGTAGAAGGAGTCACTTCGCGATTAGCAGGAGCATTCGCGGAGATTAGGCAGCAACTTTTCGAATAAAGAAGGTGAGACAATGTCGGCAGAGGTATTAGGGTTTTTGCCTTTCAGCGAACTCTCTCGACCTACAATTTAAAGGGCTTTCTTCCGTACTCTTTCGTAGTGTCTGTAATCAGGCCCAAGGCATGGCTGTAACAAACAGTTTCCAGCTACATTCCCAAAGAACGCCTGAAGCCTGAACTGTTGAACTGGGCCCTCCCGCTCGAAGGTATTGTGCCTCCTTGAGCGCTTGTTCGGAACTGGGTCAAGCCTTCAACCAAAGAGGGTTGGTGGCTGCACACCAGGCGCTCGGCATTCTGAATTCTGGGCTTGGGACGGAAGAGGAAGTAAGGGAGTATTTGTGCAGTGCTTAGGTCCGTGCTGGAGGGTTTATTCATACCAACACTAATACTGGTATTAGTATTAATACTCATACTCATATTACTAGCTTTATGCATGTAGACTGTTGACGTTCTGAGCTTCGCTTTTAAGGGGCTGGCGCAGACATGGAGGCTCCTGAGCCGACAGCGTTCGGACTTTTTATCCAGAGACTCCAAAACCCCTTAATTGAGGAAATTACCTTATTGAATTCCGACTAGGGTTCGTATTGTAATTTCAGGTATATTCCTCAATTACGGGGTTTGGAGGCTCTGGGTGGAAACCCAAATAGGTACCAACATTGTGTAGCGGAGGTTCCATGATTATAGGTTACAATTATATGGTTAGACCTTAGGTACTGCCCCCATACAGTAAGAGTCTATAATAGGGCTACTATTAAGGTCCTAATATATCTATGTTATGAAGATTCTTCAACAATTACTGAGTGGGGGTCGTAACCAAGTTATATTTATATAATTAAAGGGAACTCCAGAAAGTTGGAATATGGTTTCAGGGTAGGATGCCTTATAATTTACCATAGAAGGCTTAGGATAATCATATTCCAATTTTCTGGCTTTTACTTTAGACCACAAGATGCTTTCATGCATTTCGACTCATTCCTTGGAGTCCTCGGATACTATGCCAGCTGCTGACATTCGTGCTTTGCTGCAGCCTTATCTGGAACACTTTCAGTCAGTTCTTTGAAATTCCTTTGGATCTCAGATTCTTGCACCGCCTTGGAGCTCTCATGAGCCTTGTATGATTTGCCTGAAGCTTCTTCTTCTGTCATCTGAGCCTAGAGATCTTGCCCGTGGATGGCCTACTCCATGTGCGTTCTTCTAGCTACTTTGAATCAATGGCACCAGGACTTCCGTACCATGATTCACTTAGTCGCTTTATTGGCAGAAAAAGAGTAAATTAATTTGCTGGGAGAGTTCTCATTCAAGAGGGTGCACCGGTCACTCTGCTTCTATGTGCTCGACCAGGCATTCAGTCTGCTCGACCCCATGACTCTGTTCTAAGTATTAATTTACGGCCCCACCATTAGTTGGGCTTCTGATGTCTTCGGCTTCTGTGTGCGATTGCTTGTGACCTGTCAGCTCTGCGTTTTGAACTTACATTTGCTGCTTGGGCCCGGAAGGGTGTGTGAGGCTAAGGCGGTAGGGAAGCAGTTCTTGCTGGATAAGCCTATCCTTAGGATATCTTCATAGGTCCTCCTTGCTGTCGGACGCAAAATTTGCAGGGAGGCGCTTCTTGTTTCCCAAGGCTGCCATGCCTCGTGAAAATATCCTAACAAAACCTCCTGCCAGGGCAACAAGCTCAAGGCAGTACGGTGCGGCTTCCATTCCATGCTGTGCCTTGCGGGCAAGAGTTCGGGTTCAGGATGGAAACAGAGGGAGGGAGGGAGAGAGAGAGTCACACAAAGAGAGAGGCTGACAGATACATATATATATATATATATATATACATGGATGTGTATATATATATATAGATATGTAAACACATACATACATGCATGCATGCATACATGAGTGTGTATATATGTATATATACATATGGGCAGTCTAGAGAGTCTTGCAAACTGGTGTTTGTCTCTCGCACTTCAGCGCGCCGAACATGTGTGCATGTAACGTCGCAACGTGCCTTGACTAGCCATACGACAATGAATGCTTGTTGTGTTATCTTGTGCTGACGTGTTCTATATACAGACACAGGCTAGGACGCTGCACACACCTTGGTGTAATTTCATGTCCCTGCAGTGAATAAAGCTTATCATGCTATCGTCGTGCACAGGGTTATGCTATGATTACTGCAACGTTGTGTCTTTCTCCCCGTCCTGGACCCTTCAGAACTACATCGGGCCGGTAGTTGTGCCAATGAAGGACGCTGAAGCGTCTGCGCCAGTCACGGGACAGAGTTGGAGTAGCAGGTCAAACCAGCTGGGCACTTCACAGGACAATGCTGATGGTGACAAGGGCTTCTAACCGGTTGGAATTGATGGTGGTTCTGAACAAAGTGCTAGTGGTTGCGTCATCAGTTGAGAGATGAGCTTGCACAATCTTCAAACACATGTACCCAGTTGTTCCGCAGTTGACCCATGCCACCACTGTGGGCGCGTAAGTATGCCTGTACCACCGTACGTTGTGCTTTCCTCGTTCACGTTTTGGCTCGTGGACTTATGTATGCATGCATATACAATCCTGTGCACATGTGTGTGTATACATGTAAATATATGTATTTACTTATATATGCATATATAACCTTATATACACACATAGTTACAGGTGTACTCGTGTATATATATATATATATATATATACACACAGGTCCAGCTGGGTGCATTCACGCAAGCATGCATGCATGCATGTATGCATACAGGTATGCCTTTTGCGGTCAATGTTCGTTCCTATTTGTTCCGTGCACCGTTTGGCTTGTTCAACCTGTTCGTCAATTGGGTTTCCTCTTTCCCTGCAGCTGTGTTGATACACAGGCAATTATGTATCCCATTGACGAAGACTTGTTGATGAGTTAGGTCCTCTGACTTTGATGCTAGTTGGGGAGATCTCCCTCCGATGTTTGGTGGGGTTTGAGATTTAGGCCTTGGGATGCTTAGATAGTGTGACTTCTCAAAGCTTGCTTCTCTTTGCTTCCACACATCTGCAGCTGCGAGGTGCGCTATCCGCTTCCCGAAGAGCGAGCAAAATCTTCTCGTTTGGCTCGGCGACACGGCGTCCAAAATCATTCAGGGTTTAGGGTTTTAGGGTTTAGGGTTTGGGGTTTAGGGAGATTATGGGTGGGATCGAAGTATGAGATGCTAAATTGAGCCGGTTGTCGATTTCTCAAGGTTTGGGGAATGGAATTGTCTGATGGGTCCAAGTCGCCATACCGGTTCATGTACGTCTCATCGATGCGAATGCTCGTCTTTGATTTAACTTTTGCTCGTTTGTCCCCTTGAGCGTTGCCGAAGCCCCCACCTGTTTTGCAAGCTTGCTGTGGTAATGGCCGCAACATAGGGGCCTTGACGATCCGCACAGTTTCTTGCAGTATACTGACTATAAGACCGTTGCGCCCAAAACCCTCAATCCCGAAATCCCCAAAACGAAAATCCCAAAACCCGAAGCCTAAATCCTTAAACCCTATAAACCCTAGTCTTCAAACCCTACAGTAAAGCCCTAAACCCAACCTGCCTTGCAGGGCAAGTGGCCGAAGATACTTCGCCTCAGAGCGTCGTGGATCGACTTCGAGGAGACTTGGAATGCAAAGTCTTCGAGACTCATACTCCCGGGATCAGGGTTCGCCTTCAGGGAGGGTTAGGGCTTTAGGGTTTAGGGCTTTAGGGTTCAGGGTTTAGGGTTTAGGGCTTTAGGGTTTAGGGTTTAGGGCTTTAGGGTTTAGGGCTTTAGGGTTTAGGGCTTTAGGGGTTTAGTGTTTATCCAGGGTTTAGTGTTGCTAGTTCTATGGCGACGAGAAGCATCAACGCGAATGGGTTTTTTTCGACCATGATGCAAGGCAGGAGGTTTAGGAGTAGTTCTGCATTCCATTCTGCTCCGAAATAACCTTGGACCTTAAACCCTAAAGCGCATTCGCTTCCGTTGTGAACCTGGGGGCAGAAGTGGATCGCCACGAACCGCCGAGTATCGGAACAGGGCTTGGGAATCGAAGCTCAGGACTGGAACCTTTGAATGAAGGACTAAAGCCGAGTAAGTGCAAAGGCTGTTCAAGCTTCATGATTATCTGGAGCTGAAGGTCTAGGTTTCGAATTTCAGGGCTTGTTTTCCAGGTTGATCGAGGGTTGTGGAGTTGAGCCCGGTGTCTTAAATCCTGGTCAAGTGCAAGTTGCCGGGACTCCGTCCCGCATTTTGGGTCCCGGTATGTGCATGTCTAGCGTGCGCTTCGGGCCTACATCACTAATTTTGCGCACAAAGCATCATAGTGCGAGAAAGGCAGAGAGCCTAAAATCACAACGAATGTAATTGTATAAATGTACCGACAACCCAGTCAGTCTGAACGAATAAGTCGACATGTAGACAGACAGTTAGATGTATGCATATATACAAGCACGTACTCATAAATGCCTATACGCTTGTACATGTATTCATGTTTATGCTTTTGACTTTGTGTGTTTGCACATGATTCTGAGACCTTGCAGCGTCACCTCCAAAGGCTGTAGCATGCGCGGCATAAACCCAAAGCTCCATAAATCGGGTCTTCCAAATCATGGGCCTTATCAAGTGAGGCGGCTTCCCTGACTAGACGCGCGATTAGTATTATTAGTATTATTATTAGTACTATTAGCATTATGAGTATTATAAGCATTATCAGCATTTATTAGTATTGTTTGTATTATATGTATTATTAGTATGGCGGTCTTCGTTGTTCTAACTTCCGTCACAACCGCCCTAAACCCTAAACCCTCAAGGTTCGAAGCATCAGAGCCTGGGCCGCGCAGCTCAGGGCGCAGCGCCGCGGCTGATGGTTAGGATTACAGCTTGGGGTCGAAGCCCTATAGATCCCCTAGGGATCCCTCAAAGAAGCCCCATAGATCCCTTAGGGATCCCTTAAAGAAGCCCCATAGATCCCTTAGGGATCCCTTAAAGGAACCCCATAGATCCCTTAGGGATCCCTGAAAGGAACCACCCTGTAGATCCCTTAGAGGATCCCTTAAAGGAACCCTATAGATCCCTTATGGATCCCTGAAAGGAACCACCCTATAGATCCCTTAGAGGATCCCTTAAAGTAACCCCATAGATCCCTTATGGATCCCTGAAAGGAACCACCCTATAGATCCCTTAGAGGATCCCTTAAAGGAACCCTATAGATCCCTTAAAGGATCCCTTAAAGGAGCCCTCTAGATCCCTTAGAGGATCCCTTAAAGGAGCCCTATAGATCCCTTAAAGGATCCCTTAAACCCTATAGATCCCTTAAAGGATCCCTTAAAGGAGCCCTATAGATCCCTTAGAGGATCCCTTAAAGGAGCCCTAGGTATCGTAGTGTACTGGGAGGCTAACTGCCAGCTAGGCTTGTTGGCATTTCTATGGTCACGGAGGATTCAGAGTCCAGGGTACATGTCTCGACAAGCTCAGTGCAACGGCTGGCACTGTAGCCCCAATATCGAGTAGAAACACAACATGACGAAGGTCGTGCGCAGGCTGTTTTCATAAGCGAATCACGTCTGATTGCTGCCCAGACTCGCCACGTGCCATCTCAGACTGAAAATGTTCTTACCTGAGTACCTAGTCTTAAAAACATGGTACCTTTCTGACCCTTTTTGGGTACATAGGACGTGCAAGAGTGTGCGTGTAGTGGATCATAGTATATTACAGTATACTGTAGTACATTGCCCTAGACCGAAGACTTGAACTACTGAGCCCTGCTGCAAGTCCTGGACCCGAAGGTGTGCCAGTTGCAGCTGACGCTGCTGCAGCTACGAGAAAGCGACTCTGGAGAACCCAGCCAGCGGCAAGGCGCCCTCGGCGAGCTCATCAACAAAGCTCAGGCGAAGATGAAGGAGGCTCGGTTACGGGTTTAATTACAGGGTTTAGGAATTAAGGGTTTAGGACTTAGGCGCTCCCCACGGCATGTTGCCGAGATGCTCCATGCTGTGAGCAACACTGTGCTGCTGAGACTGCTCTAGGCTAAAGTCCCAAGCCTCGACAGCAAAGCCCGTCGGCCTGCGATGCGGCACAGGCTGTGGCCGGCATGGACTCTCACAAGGGGGGTCAAGGACATCCGGCCACTTCGTCGGGATGTCTGTAGCTACTGGTGGAGCATTGGTGTACGTGTCGAAGCCTTTCTTTTTTTGCCTCAGACAAGTAATCTAAATTGTATTTTTACTATTGTTGCTGCTCCTACTACTGCTTCTGCTAGTACCACTACTACTATAACTACTACTACTACTACTACTACTACTACTACTACTACTACTACTACTACTACTACTACTACTACTACTACTACTTTACTACTGCTACTACTGCTACTACTACTACTACTACTACTACTACTACTACTACTACTACTACTACTACTACTACTACTACTACGACGTCTACTACTTCGACGAGGACCAGGACGAGGACTAGGACTAGGACTACGGCTGCCACTACCACCACTACTACTACTACTACTACTACTACTACTACTACTACTACTACTACTACTACTACTACTACTACTACTACTGCTGCTACTCCGACTACTACGACCACGACTACGACTACTTCGACTACTTCTACTTCCACGACGTCTTCTGCTAAGATACTACTGCTGCTGCTGCACCGCAACAACAATGAAAATAGTAGTAGCACTACGACTACTACTACGACTACTACTACGACGACGACTACTACTACTACTACTACTGCTACTACTACTGCTACGACGACTACTACTACTACTACTACAAGCATTTGTGTACTACGACTTCTCAAGACAACAAAAAGTACTACTACTACTACTACTACTACTACTACTACTACTACTACTACTACTACTACTACTACTGCTACTACTAGAAGCATTTGTCTACTACGACTTCTCAAGTACTCTAGTATTTCGAATACTACGATTACTATGGCGACTACTACTGATACTGCTAGTAATACTGCTGCTGCAACTGCTCCTGATGCTGCTGCTACTGCTTGTGCTGTTAAAGTGACGACGACGACCGCGACTGTTGCTACTAGACTGTGCCACTGCACGCAGGGCTGCCAAACCCAGGCCAGGAGTTCTGAACCCCAAGACAATAAGATCAGAAGCAGGACCAGACCTTGAGTGGATTCTGGAGACCTTGATGATCAGCATTTGCGCCGCCGCCTACCACCGCAGGGGCCAGCCACAGGCACTTTTCAGTTGGGTGCTTGCTTGCCGTCAATTTTTCTTCCCGTCAAAAACCTTGGATTCGTAGCTGCCTGAGGGGATCGACTCGTGAGGCTACTCGTGTTACTCAGACTAGAGCAATTTTGTCTTCATGTTCGCCCGTGCCGTGGCGAGTTCATGCCTCTTACCTGCGGTGTAGTTCCTTGCTCCGGCTCTTACCAGACAGGTACGACATGATCAACCCTAAGAAACGGAATCGTGTCGCGAAGCAATGCATTCACTGCTCGCGGACGTGAATTGCATCGGTACCCTTGCAGCGAACAAAAGAAGAACCACAACCGTTTGAACCCAGGGTCGGTGTGACGACGAATCCAACCAAAAAGAGCAGACAGGGTCTTTCATCTGAAGCCAGATGCCAAAGCGAGGCGGGCCCTATGCCGCAGAAACCTTCGCCAAGAAAGAAAGCTTTCTATCATCGCGCCCTAAACCCTAAGCCCGAATATAGTTTTGTTTGCAGTATCAGTATACGTGTTTGACCAGTCCTAATTACTATGATTGTTCTTACTCTTCAGGCAACAGGCAAGCCGACTGTGCTCGACAAGCTCATGGATGGGTACACCTCTACTGCCTTCTGGGCTTGGGCGCCTTGGCCATGCGTTGAAACAGGCAACTTCTGGTGAGTACCTTTAGCTGGTATTCTTTATGATTAACAATTTTTTACATGACTGATTCCATTACAAGAGGTCTTCCTATCGCTAGTGTTACTACCGTGTCCTGCTGGTATTTGCAATTGTGGCTAGAATCTGAAAGGCGACAGCAAACATAGTCTCAATATCAGCAATACTATCACTACTTGTATCGGCAGTAGTAGCAGTAGTAGAATTAGCATTGGTGGTCGCATTAATACCTGATAACAACACTAACACGGGTACGAACAAGAATGATCATGGTAACAATAAGCAGTAGGAATCATGGTGATAGTAGTGATAGTAGTGTCAATAGCCATAGTAGTAGTAATCAGGTTTAACAACAAAGTGACATTATGAAAACTTGTAACAATCGTAGCTGCTGAGTTCTGTGTCATTGGGCCGCGTCGTTGTCGTTGACGTTTGACGGCTTCACACATCTCTGAAGCCCCCGACACCGAGAACTTGCTTCCTTGAAGTCCCGCACCGCATCGCGCCCTTTGAAAGCTTAGGAATCCCCCCCCACAAGCCCTAAACCCCTAAACCCTAAACCCCTAACCTGTAAACCCTTCACCTCTTCGGCTCTTCGAAGGACTGGGTGGTGCGCTTCGGCCTTTGCCTTGCCAAGGAAACGAAAGAAGGCGCGATCATATAGGAGACTCAGTAACTGCTTAGACTAGGGTCTTGGGGTATCCCCCAAGTACATATAATTGTAAGTTTTTGCGCATGGGGATCTTGGGAGTATGGTGGTAAGAAATCAATGAAGGCGTTGCGCAGTTTATCGCAGTACTATTCCGAGCTTCTGATATGACTATGACGGAGAGACTGTCTGTCAAGAGCTCTTTCTCCATGTGTTCTGCTCGCCTGCCTTCCTGTCGCAATTACCTTCCGCATCGCACGCACCTACCCCTGCAGTAACCTTATGACACCTTCACATATGACCTTTACAGCAACCTTCTAGTAAAGCTAGTAGAATGGCCCAGCTGCCAGGTGAGAGCGAGGAGTCTGGAGCCTCTCCATTCCTCGCGCCGCTGGGTCTTCTTTGCCTGCTGGCAGCCAGGGTGGTGCCCCACTCCTGGAGGCCCCTGGTGTGGGGCCTTGGAGGGCTGAGACCCGGTAGAAGACGCGGGGTGATGGCGATGATGACAACGAAGATGACGACGAGGAAGAAGAAGATGACGATGACTTTGGTGAAGTAGATACGGGAGCTGACTTTGATGCTGAAGCTGTCGTCGGTACTGATGCTGATAATGTTGCTGTTGCTGCTCATGACTATGACGGTGTTGGTGTTCAGGATGCTGATAGACATGCTGTCGATGATGGTTACAGAGGGTTGAGGATGTCGAAGCTGGAACTACGGCTTTGCTTCAGTTACCTTGCACAGCTTCTGCACCTGTGCTCGTGCATCCCTAGCTGATGCCTTATGTGGTCACCGTCCGAAGCCCACCATCCCAGTCTTTGATGGTACCCAAAATCTTCAGCTTCTGCTGCATCCGGAGGAGCTCCGTCTCCGCGCCGTTGCACGATGCTTTGCGCCGCGAGCTCAGGGATCTGACCGCTGTGGAGTAGGATTGGGCTACTGCTGGACGCAATGCTGTTGCTGCTACTCTTGCGAAAACCCACCTCCACTAAATAGCTGCCAACGCTGTCGAGCGCATATTTGGTACTTCGAACACGGCCGCAGCGACCTGTTGTTGATGGCAAAGCTGCTGCTGTAGTACTGCTGCTTCTGCCACTGGCACTGCTGCTCGGACCATGACTACTACTTGACGAAGACACCTCCTCCTCCTCCTCCTCCTCCTCCTCCCCCATGCTGAGGGCAAGCATAACTTTCGTGAGTAAGGATCCTTTGACTAGCGTGCTGCATTGCATTGGAAGTTGCGTGTCTGGTACCGCCTGACATTCAGATTTGTCAGTGCCTTCGCATCTACCATCTTGTTTCCTAGTTGTACCATTATATGCCCAAAGCAAAGCCGCAACCAAACTCTGCCCGGTTTGTGCAACTGCAAGCAGATGATAGCAGATGCGAAGTTTCCTAAGCCCCACATGTTGTGCCTAAGCTAGACAACACCAATTGTGTGCCTGGCCTAGGCCAGCTTGACGTGAGCGAGGAGCGCTGCTACTTTTGAAGTTGCAATATTCTAATAGAGGCACAGACAAAGCAAAGCAATTAGCCCATGCTAGTGCTCATCGTCGTGGCAACCACTGAGCACGGACGAATGCGAGCGTACTACGGTTCAGAAGCGTGGCACCGATTGGTGCTTGAGAGTTTCGGGTGCCTTGATTTCAGCTCATTTCCATGCCCCTTCAAGGTTATGAGTTCTGGTCTTTGAGTTCCAGATGTTTAGGAGTTTCGGGCATGGGGGCCGCGATAAACTCGACTCTAATGTATTTCAGCGTTAACTCTGCACAGCAACTACGAGACTCTTTGCCGAACTCTTTCAAAGCATGAAGCTCCTAAGCCCTCCGACCCTAGAGCACTGAACCCTTAAGCCCCTGATCTTAAACTGAAGCACTGTGAAATCCCGGGCAGAAGGAGACCACTGAAGGAGCTCAAGCCTGCTAACAGACCGCAATCTAGAGCCTTCGATCCCAACTGCACAGGCCTGAACACGAAACTTGACGTTGGAACAGTGTGTGTGTGTGTGTGCGTGCATGTGTACATGTATATATATATATATATATGTACATACACCTTATGTATATAATGTATGCATCTATTTGCTCTTCAGTTTTGAATCAGTGTATTGCTTGTTTTACTTGGTGTTGTAACTGTTGTTTTGCCATAAACACTCATTTCTGCGAACTTTATAGCGCAATATGAATATACCACACAAACCTGATTATCCCAAACCTTATGTAGAAGCCTTAACAAATAATTAATCATACCCTTCCTTCGGGTTCCTTAGAATTGTCACCCTTCCCCAAACCCCTTTTCTACTTATTTTCGGTCCCTACCAAGAGGGTCCATATGCACTACTATTACGGAATTTGGTCCCCAAAACCACAATGGGGATGGTCTTTTGGGACCTAACTCCATAACGGTAGTATATGGGAGTTTCCGAAGATAGGGGACCCTAATGTAGTACCCTAAATAATAGGATCCTTGTTATAAGGACTTCGGAAACTCCCATCTATTGAAATGCGGACCCTCTGGGCAAGTGTACAGGAGAATGCAGAAGCAGCAGAGCTGCTTCGCTTCGCGCTCCCTGAAGATGAGGCTCCTCGAGAGCTCGAGAGATGCTATAGGGGTTTAGCGTTTAGGGGTTTAGGGTTTCGTTCTTTTTTGTTGGTTTTGGGTTTGGGGTTAGTGATTTGGGGTTTGGGGGTTTAGGGTTTAAGGTGTCGGAATAGTTAGTACAGTAACGGTATTGCGGTTTGGGTCGTAGGGGTTATCCCCTATAGATCCACTATACATTTTGTAGGATGGAGATACCCCCAACTCCCCCTCCCTGCCCAAGCCTAGTCTAACTATTCGGGACCCCATATGAGTTTTTGCAAGGTTATAATAATTAAAAAGAAACGTGTAGTGTAAGATACCCCACCCCTCCGCCAAATCCTGTTCGAATTATTCAGGACCCTGTTTTGCTATTTTGGGGGGTGCAGGGTGTGGGGCTTAGTATGGCTTACAGCCTCCTAAATCGTTGGTGTAATGTTATGCTTTGAGTCTGACAATGTGTTCGATTTGAGGGTTTAAGGCAGCCGTTTTTTAGAATCAAAATAAGAGCCAATAGCCTGACGAATGCCACTATGTAGACACATCCGATGATGGCAGTGCCATCGATGTGCGAAGTAACATAGTTACCACAAGTCCATCCATACACTCATGCTATCGTTGCCTTTATCATGGTTCTATGGTAGGAGTCAGAGGCACTAATGGCCCGTGTCTTCAGGTGTTCCCGTTTTGAGGTTGTGGGGCGTGGACCCCAAGCTGTCGGACTTGAGTCATAGGCCATTGTGGCGAGTGTCTAATGTAATAGTAGTAATAGTAGTAATAGTAGTAATAGTAGTAATAATAGTAGTAGTCGTAATAGTAGTAATTTTAGGTTACGGCTATGCGCTTTCGCCTGCTCGGACTGCAGGTGGCAGCTGGGCTTCTGCCGGTAGCCGAGAAGGAGAAGGAGGGCAAGGAAGGCAGGATTCTGCAACCCTTAGCCCGGAAGCCTAAGCACCGCCGTGTACTTTGATGTGTTGGATTCTACACCCTCCGACAGTCAACACCGGGCATCGACTGTGCATGGGAAAGGCAAGGTAACCTTCTTAGCACAGCTGTCTGTACATGCCCAGAAGCAGAATGCTTGCGCAGTCCATCATGCACAAACTCAGACCCGAAAGTCCAAAGCCCTAAGTGAACCTAGAACCCTGCTTGAAAATTGTGCATTTGCCCACATGCTCTAACATCAAGAAGTGTTCGCATGTAGTAGCTGTGCTGGCTGTACTCTTCACTGTTGGCAACGGCCGCAGCCCATTGTAAGCATCCGTCTAGATCGCAGATCTACGCAGGTCCTTGTCGACCAAATGCACAGATGAGACAGCTCCAGCTAGGGTGCACTTAGGAGCAGCATTAGAGGTGGTGGTGGTGGTGGTAGTAGTAGTAGTAGTGGTGGTGGTGGTGGTGGTGGTGGTGGTGGTAGTAGTAGTGGTAGTCGTAGTAGTAGCAGTAGTAGTAGCAGGAGTAGTAGTAGTAGTAGTAGTAGTAGTAGTAGTAGTAGTAGTAGTAGTAGTAGTAGTAGTAGTGGTAGTGCCCAAGTTGCGGCCAAAATGTTTGCTGGCTTCACCCGCAGATTCTGTGATGATGATGTTCTTCGGGCTACCCTGCGGCAACTCGCAGGAAAGTACGGCTCCAATCTGCTAGATCGCCTCAGCCAACCTGCTCATCGAGCAGACGTGTTCCGCTACGTCTACCACTACCAGCACGGCGGCCTCTACGTCGACATCAAATGTGGCTTCGTGGTACCTTGGGAACAGGTACTCGCGCATCTCGCAGCAGATTGGAGCACAGCTCACTCAAAGAAGGCAGGTGAAGTGGGTCACAGACCCTCCCCACCTGGCCAACTCCCACAGGAGTTCATGGTCATGGCCATAGGAGTCAAAGGAGATCATATTTTTCAAGGCATCATCTATGGCAAGCCCAGACACCCCTTGATGAGGGAAGCCATACAGCACGCCTTCAGCCGTCAGGTTATGACAGCGAAGGCAAACTTGGAATACATGACCTTCTGCAAATTTCTTTGGCAGATCTTGGGTCGTGACCTTAGTCACTCCCCTCAGCCGGGATGGAATGTTTCCACCAAATTTGGCCCCATCTACCTGTTCTCGGAGCGCTGGGACAAGCGAGTGAAGAACAAGAAGTACGACAATGATGGCCACTATTTCGTGACTACCAACAACACGACCGTTGCATATACCCGGTGCTGGAAGTGGCTGAAGGGATTTCAGGGAGACCCAACCACCAAAGAACGCACAGACCGCATGCTGCAGAGCCAACTCCCTGACATCTCCCTTGAAATCCAGTCTGACAGACCTGAAGAGCACAGCTCACCACAGCCACCTAGGTCACAGACCATGGCAACCGCCTCATCGGCTCTCCCTCCTCCCACTCAGGAGGATATTGAAGCCTATGTGGCCGACAGTATCCAGCACAACTCCTTTGCAGAGATCATGGCTACGGTCCGTGAAACCCACCACTACAACCAAGACCTTACAGAGCAGGATGTGCTGGAGCTTATCCCTCGAGGATTAGGGCAAGTGAAAGTTTCGGGGGACATGTGGTTATGCTGCTTGCACTGCCGGAAGCACAACAGGCAGGTGCAATTCAGCACTAGCCACGGCCTTAAAAACCACTTTGTCACTCAGAAGCACAACCCGGCACTCAGTGCCACGCCGGACCCCCACACTCCTCCCCCTCCTCCTCCCCCCAAGCTCCCACAGGAAATTCCTCTTCCCCCCAGCAGTACCAGGACCAAAGGTATAGACAAAGCAGCCGGCTTCGAGCCGCCACCCTCCCCCCCGTGCCCTTTCACTTCCTCAGCAGCTGAAAAGGCGGCTTTCAAAGCAGGCCAAGCAGAGACACCGAAGGCGGCCCCGGCGCTTCCGGTTAAGGCCCCACCGCCCATGGTGGCCACCCAATGCCCCCCGCCCTCTTCATCCTCGGCAGCACCAGCTCCCCCTCCGGCGATTCCAGTTTCCCCGATCCTTCCGCACCCCCCCAAGTCCGTCTCTCCCCCAACCCCCGCCACCCAGGCCGCTCCGCGCTCCCACACGCCCCCTCCTCCTTCTTCCCGTCCCCCGTCAGCATATGAGCCTCCGGAATCCAATGCGGAACTCGTCGGCTATGTCCCACAGCCGGCTCCACGGCTGACAGTACGTTACACGCGGCAGGAGCTGGCTCAGCTGCTGAGCTCCCAGTCCCATCAGGACTGGATTCGGGCCTTGGCTTCCATCAACATCCTGGTGGCTCCGGTCATTCTTGGCGGCCTCACCAACCAAGAACAACAGACCCTTTGGTCTACCAGGATGGAAGCACTCCGAGAAGTTCCGCCGCTGTTCTCTGCCATCAAGTCCGTAAGGACGCAAACCGGCCTCACATGGGACACCGCCATGTCGGTGAGGCGGGTCCTCACAAGCGATGGGAAGGTCACCATCGCCACAGGCGCGGGTGACGCCTACCGTGAGCTGGACGCACCAACAAAGGTGCATGGCCTTATCCATGCCTGCTTCAACAAGATGTGGGACGAAAAGGCCTTTCGGCAGCACTTCCCCTCGTGGGTCGAGTTCAATATGATCGCCACCACCATAGTGGCAGTCTACAATGAGACGGCCAAATCAGCCGGACTCCCAGCTCGTGTTTTCCGGGTCAAACCCGACAAAAATGCTTACTCCATCATGAAGATGCGGATACAGCATGACAAGGGGAACGAAGAGGACAAGCGCATGGCCAAACTGGCTGCTGCTGCCCCCAACAAGCGCCCACAGATGCAGGAGGCTGACACAGAGGGCAAGCGGCAGCGCGATGGCCCCTCCTCATCTTCCTCGTCCCAGTGGGCAAGACAGGCACGCTCATCTCAGGATGACGACTGGGACTGGTGGCAGCAGTGGTCCTGGCATGGTTACTCTCAGCAGTGGCCAAAAGGTCATGACCAGTGAGGGCGGTAATATGTCACAGACTCTATGATCCCTTATGTCACAGACTCAGGGAATTCGGCACTCTTCCGACGCCTAGCACATCTCTTCGGAAGAATGTGAACCGCGTGCTAGCCTCGCTTAAAACAGCACTTTGCGCTTCAGCGAGTTGCCCACATCCAAGCTGCCCAAAGTCTCACGCCACCGGAGTTGCTTCAGGTACCAGCGGTCATCCGCACATGACCCTTACGGCCTTCTGTCTTCAACATGAGTAATCCGTGTGGGACGCCACGAGACGGATACTCCAGGTGGCGGCTTCGTCTGAGGTACGGCCTAATTGTTGAGACAGGTGCACAGATGGACGCGTCTGTTCACACCAAGGTGTCGGAGAAGGAAGCTTTTTGTAGCAGTAGCAGTTGCAGTAGTATGTCAAGTTCGAGCTGATTAGAGAGACCTGAGCGATGCATGCTAGAAGCAGTTTCACGAGTGCACGAGACCAAAGGCGCCCGCAAAGCGCAGAGCACGCTCGCGCAGCGTTCAATTGAAAAAATAGTGGTAGTGGTAGTAGTGGTAGTAGTTGTAGTAGTGGTAGTAGTGGTAGTAGTAGTAGTAGCAGCAGCAGGAGCAGCAGCAGCCGGAGGAGGAGGGGGAGGAGGAGGAGGAGTAGTGTTATGCGCATATGTATATGTACAAGTAATTCATGTGTATATATATATATATATGTGTATACGTACATTTATCCGCATAGGAATATGTTGGTGCTTCGGGTTATGTATCATTATGTACATGTATGTATTTGTATTAGTATGCATATATACATATCTTTACATCTGCTGTGGTTATTCAAAGTGTAGATAGATACAATTGTATCGGTGTGTATCTCTAAAGAGACACATGCCACACCGCACCCTCGTCATTCCACGCTTCTTGACAGGCAGCTGGACGGCGGCCGGCAAGACTTCGGAGGACGAGGTCCTCTCGAAGATGTTGGCAATGACTTAGGTTTCGAGGATTTAGGGTTTAGGGTTCACAGCTTACAAAATAAACCTGAGCCAGTAGTAGAATATCCCCCAGTCAATGCTGATATTTGAGTTGCATGGGATGGATGTTTAGGACGGGCCCGAGTATAAGCTTCAAAGTTTCGGGCTTTGCTGAATCAAGGTTGCAGGTTTCATTCATCGTCCCAAAGCCGTCGTAGTTCGTCCTCGGCCTCGGACTTTAAGACACGCAGAGTTTAAATCAACGATTCTGACTGCCCCTACTAGATGGAGAAGCCCGATGCCGAAACCATGGGTTCAGTTTTGCAACTACTTTGTGATTTTGTGCATTCCGAAATTGGATTCAGCATGAGGCATCGTCGAACTGTGCAGGATATTTGTCATTACTGTTTGTTCGAGTGTTGTAATCGTGTGACGTTGCCAGAGCCTTTGCTGCAACTGCACTAAGGCACGGATGGAAGCACTAATACACTGAGGCTCTTGCAACCCATCTAGCAACCCAGAATCGAGTCCAGTTAGTAAGTAGGGGTCGGAATAACTATAGTATTAACATCCCTTATCCAAATAGCAGCCTTTTTGTGTCGAGTATTATGCTAGGTTACTCGTGTATGCCCCAATACTCTACTCTATTGATAAAGGCCCCTTTCTCACCTGCGCTCCAGAGCCCCTGAATCCTAAACCCTAAACCCTAAACCCCTAAACCCCTAAACCCTAAACCCCTAAACCCTAAACCCTAAACACCTGAACCCGAAGCCCCTGAAACCCCAAACCCGAAGCCCAGTTGGGTCCGGAGGCCTCGGAAGACGAAGTGGTCCTGCAAACGCCGGTGGTCAAGATCGCCAGCCCGGAGAAGAAGGCTCATGGCACCGGCTGAGCAGTCTGTATGTTTAAGTCTTTATATATATATATATGCTATACCATGTGTGTGTATATGTATATATATATATATACATACATACATAACAGGCCTTAGTTATTTGGAAACGGTTTGGGGATGTGCTTTAGTACAAGTATAAGCGGCTGAAAAGGGTGTAATATGAGTGCCTGAAGTATTCCAATGGGTTTAGGGGTTGTATTGTTGTAACAAGCATGACCGGGCTAACAGAGGGAGTTGTCTGACCAAGTCGGAGGTGCTTCGTTTCTGCAGCCAACCAGTCGGTCTATCAGTTATCTTAACCCTGAAGAACCTACCTATTTTAGGGTTTCCTACTATGATTTCCTTGTATAGGTCCTGAAAAAGGTAGGTTCTTCAGGGTTAAGCTGGTCATGTTCTTGCTTGCTTGCCCAGAGAAGTAACTGATAATAGGTGGAAGTTGTTTACATGACTGATGAACTCACGGCGCATATGATGCATAAGTACGCTTTCGCACACATGCACGCGCGCCTACAAAACACAGACGCAGACACACAAGCACGTAGCTAAATGTCCAAATTCATCGCTGTATAAATAAGCAAGAACCTAGCAAACGAGCATGCATTATACAATACGTATGTATGAATGCATGTATGCATGTATGTACGCCTGTATGCATGCATTATATGCTTGCATGTTTGTTTGTGTGTGTGTGTGTGTGTTACGAAGGCCTGCAATACCCTATAAAACTTTCGGAGCGACTTCACAAAGCTCTGTAGGCCCTGAAGGAGTTCCCCAAAACCCATATCGGCAGGTCGACAGTCCTGGTGCGAATCCTATCCGAGCAGCAACTTGGCCGCAGCTGAAACTTGGGTCCAGTGCCTCGAGGCTTTAGGATTTTAGGGTTTAGGCTTTAGGACTGTAGAGATCATGTCGTTGATCATGTCGTTGAAGGTACTGTAAGGCTGTTATGAGGGTACTATAAGCATAAATTAAGGGTACTCGAAGGGCACCATAAGGGTACTCTCAGGGGACTTTGGACTTGAGGGTTTATGGCTTATGGCTCAGGACTTTAAGGCACAAAGACAGGTTTCACCAAGTGTCTTCTGCTAGTCTTCATGGCTCAGGACCTTACTAGTACGCTGTGAACTCCAGCAATCTGTGTGGAGAAATGGGGGGTGGAGTGTCTTTCAATTTATCTGGAGAACCTGAGAGATGGAGGCTGTCGATTCCGAGTGATCGCACCTGGAATCCTAGCTCGTCCGAGATGTGCTTTAGAGTTGTTCGAAACAGGACCCTCCTTGTACCCCCAAATAGGAGTACATGGTCCCTACTGGTAGGTATTTAGGGTCTTTAGGTAGAAGGAAGGTCTAGGAGGGTGGTGGCTTGTGAAACCTGGCCATAGACTTTGTGGTGTGGTTGGGATTCGTTTTGGTGCTGCGGTGTAGTAGATGAATGCAGCATGATGAAGAAATGGAATGGAAGGGCTAGTAGTTCCTCCACTTTCAAGTTCTTCGGAGAAGGGTTCGATCTTTCTTCCACCTGAAGCTTGAACGCTGCTCCTCGACCCAAACTAACGACGGGACTCAGCAATCAACGAAGCCAGTGTGGTGTTGCACGGAATAGAACACTGGAGTTTTGGCGCCGAAACAGGAGATGCTGAGCGCACGATGCTACACCCTATACTTTGCATGGAAACACCCACATCCTTCAGTGCTCGCACTCTATATACCCCGTGGCGCATGGACATGACTGTTTACAAGCACAGCCTTCCAAGCGCTTAGCGCTAGGCTGAACCCTTACAACCCATAGACCTTGGTCCTAAATCCTCAAACCCTCCTCCTTATCGTACCTTAATAGTACCTTGATAGTACCTTAATAGTACCTTAATAGTACCTTAATAGTACCTTGATAGTTCCTTGATAGTACCTTAATAGTACCTTAATAGTACCTTGACAGTACCTTAGTAGTACCTTAATAGTACTTTGATAGTACCTTAATAGTACTTTGATAGTACCTTGATAGTACCTGAATAGTACCTTAATAGTACCTTGATAGTACCTTAATAGTACCTTAATAGTACCTCGATAGTACCTTAATAGTACCTTGATAGTACCTTGATAATACCTTAATAGTACCTTAGTAGTACCTTGATAGTACCCTAATAGTACCTTAATAGTACCTTGATAGTACCTTAATAGTACCTTGATAGTACCTTGATAGTACCTTAATAGTACCTTAATAGTACCTTGATAGTACCTTAATAGTACCTTAATAGTACCTCGATAGTACCTTAATACTACCTTAATAGTACCTCGATAGTACCTTAATAGTACCTTGATAGTACCTTGATAGTACCTTAATAGTACCTTAATAGTACCTTGATAGTACCTTAATAGTACCTTAATAGTACCTTGATAGTACCTTAATAGTACCTTGATAGTACCTTGATAGTACCTTAATAATACCTTAATAGTACCTTGATAGTACCTTAATAGTACCTTAATAGTTCCTTGACCTTAGTACCTTAATAGTACCTTGATAGTACCTTGATAGTACCTTAATAGTACCTTAATAGTACCTTGATAGTACCTTAATAGTACCTTAATAGTACCTTGATAGTACCTTAATAGTACCTTAATAGTACCTTGATAGTACCTTAATAGTACCTTGATAGTACCGATAGTACCTTAATAGTACCTTAATAGTACCTTGATAGTACCTTAATAGTACCTTAATAGTACCTTGATAGTACCTTAATAGTAGTACCTTAATAGTACCTTGATAGTACCTTGATAGTACCTTAATAGTACCTTGATAGTACCTTAACAGTACCTTAATAGTACCTTAATAGTACCTTGATAGTACCTTAATAGTACCTTGATAGTACCTTGATAGTACCTTAATAGTACCTCGATAGTACCTTAATAGTACCTTGATAGTACCTTGATCGTACCTTAATCGTACCTTAATAGTACCTTGATAGTACTTTAATAGTACCTTAATGCTACCTTAATAGTACCTTGATAGTACCTTAATAGTACCTTGATAGTACCTTGATAGTACCTTAATAGTACCTTAATAGTACCTTGATAGTACCTTAATAGTACCTTGATAGTACCTTGATAGTACCTTAATAGTACCTTAATAGTACCTTGATAGTACCTTAATAGTACCTTAATAGTACCTTGATAGTACCTTAACAGTACCTTAATAGTACCTCGATAGTACCTTAATAGTACCTTAATAATACCTTGATAGTACCTTAATAGTACCTTAATAATACCTTAAAAGTACCTTGATAGTACCTTGATAGTACCTTAATAGTACCTTAATAGTACCTTGATAGTACCTGAATAGTACCTTGATAGTTCCTCGATAGTACCTTAATAGTACCTTGATAGTACCTTGATAGTACCTTAATAGTACCTTAATAGTACCTTGATAGTACCTTGATAGTACCTTAATAGTACCTTAATAGTACCTTGATAGTACCTTAATAGTACTTTGATAGTACCTTGATAGTACCTTGATAGTACCTTAATAGTACCTTGATAGTACCTTAACAGTACCTTAATAGTACCTTAATAGTACCTTGATAGTACCTTAATAGTACCTTAATAGCACCTCGATAGTACCTTAATAGTACCTTGATAGTACCTTGATAGTACCTTGATAGTACCCTTATTGTGCCCCAAAACTGGAAAAGCCCACCTTGCTCAGGGCTCGAGGCCGATGGCACCGGCACACCTCCACACGCAGGTGCGCGGAGGGCCTCGGGGTTTCAGTGTTCAGGATTGGGGCTAAGGGGAAATCGACTTGGGGTTGAATTCTGGTGGGGTGGCGGACATATATACATATACACACATCCGTCTGAACGTCCTTCCATGCATGTATGCATTCTTGCAGACACACATATGCAAGGTGTTGTTCGAGATATGCTGATACTCGGCTGTTTAACTCCGCCTCAGGTTCGCCGAGCACGATTGTCCTTCTGCCTGAGGACCGCCGCCGAAGGCCAGCACATTGAATGGAACGATCGGGAGTAGCGGAGTTCAGGATTTAGGATTCGGGGTTTAGGCTTTCGTTTGTCTGCTTCAGGGTTTGCGAAATCGGTTGCAGGATTCAGAGATCAGATTGGGGTTTAGGGCCTCAGTCTTTTGGGCTTGTAGGTTCGGAGCGCTGTCTCGGGGTTTGAGAAGTCTAGGCTAGGAGATGGTCCACGGGACCCCTGCCTGAAAATCACACGTTGTTCCAGACATCTTAAACTCTCTCGTCCGATCTCTGGATGAACCCTACTCGCAGAACCCCGGGCCGAAACCTTCAGGATTTCTAGTCCGGCCTCAGGAGAGTACTGGACGATTCAGGGTTTCGCAGCATACTGGCTGAAAGTCTCAGCTTGGCTGTGAAAAGCTACAACACTCGTGTGATGCATGAACCATAGCTCTCACATGCCCCCATTTGTGAGTTTCCGAAAATTAGGGGTGCCTTATTTGGCGGTCCTCATAATAAGGGTCCTACTGTTTAGGGTACTATATTAGGTTCCCCTATTGTCGGAAACCCCCCATGTCAGGTGTCGCCAAGGAGCTCCGGCCGGAAGCACCCCCGCCACGGGGCCCGGAGGCGGCCGGGTGGCTCATTGTGAGGTTCCACAAACTTCGATACGAGTAATATAGGGGCCTTATAGTAATTACCTGGACTATTTTTAGGGGGGGTCCTTCTCATAATTGTAGAGAAAGTAGACTGATGAACCATTATTTCGGTATTTGCAGCTTGTCGGTCTTATAGCCGAAACAAGACGAAAGCACGCGAGAAAGGCAACAGCCCTTATTGTGAGGATGGCACTAGATTCGATGGTAAGAGCAGACATCATAGCATGTATACTGATACTCTGTAGTGATTAGTGATGCTCGGAGGCATGGTAGCCGGGCTTTCGTTGTCGGGGGCACAACCTTACTCCGGCACGGTGAGTGAACGACATCATGCACTTCTAACTGTCGTTTTAAAAGGAAATGTAATGTGCACGCCTAAGCCTTCCACCTAAATGGGACACAGAGGTTTGAAAGGAAGAAGATGCCAAATTCTTGCCAGACCCGCTTGCCCGCTGCCCCAGCCGCTGCGGATTTCCAGGCCAGTGGCATCGACGTAGGGCGGTTTGGGTGGTTAGCTGCATATCGCATAATACAAGGAAATAACGCATCATAGAAGAGTGTATGTATGGATGCACATAGAATGTACGTGCCTGCTCTGTTCAAACAAACTTCAAGCATACGGTGCGTATGTGTATGTCTGCTGACCTACTAACTGCAGGCACAACTAGGTAAACAGTGATGCGTACGCACAGAGGTCCATGTATGTGCAGTTTCCTCTCGACTGCGAGAGTGCATGTAATGTAGGAACCTGATTAAGAAACCTTGGGCATTTGTTGGGGTTCCTTATATGAACCCTACTATTTTGGGGTCGCAGGCCCAGGGTTTCTTTATCAGGTTCCTACATAAATTACTGTACTTGCTGGACCTTCATCATCACCATGCCCGTCTGCAGGGTCGTCAATATCATCATCTCTTGCTCACTGCGGCGAGCATCATAGCTCGCAGTTCATCATCACCAAGGTCATCGTCATCGCCACAATTTCCAGCAGCAAATTCTTTCACCACCACAATACTACAGATGTCACTACCACCACTTATATCATACCACGGGTGTTCGCTTTTCGGGCTGTTAGGACTGTGGTTCTGTACGATGTTGAGTTTCGGGCTCAGGATCTACCTTTCGGGATGCTAGGTCATCATGAAGCAGTGTAGGGGACAAGTAGGGATTCAGTCTTCGGGGATTTGCAATTGAAGGCTCTATAAACCCTATGGCTCCAAACCCTATAGACCCTAAACTCTAAAACCCCGAACCCAAAACTCGAAACCCCAAACCGAAAACCGAAAGCCTTAAATCCCAAACCCTAAACCCGTAACCCCTAAACCCTAAACCCTAAGATCCCTAAACCCCTAAACCCCTAAACCCCAAACCCCAAAACCCCCCAAACCCCAAAACCCTTAAACCCTAAACCCCAAGATCTCACCGCATCTCAGGGTGCCTGGGGCGGAGCCTGGGGAGAGGAGCATGGTTGGGCCGATGGCTCCGGGCCTGCAGTTTGTTTTTCCGTTGGGGCCGTTTTCAGAGGTTGCTCTTTTCAAACTAGTAATAACATCGGTATTCGTAGTGTTATTGAATGTTACCATTGGTATTTGTACAATGATTCTTAGATATATATATATATATATACACGTACATACATATGTATATGTATACGAAGCATCCGAGTATTTCGATTCCGCACACAGGGCCTGTGTTTTTTGGAATTGTGACGCGGGGATTTCCATCTTCGGGAATTCGAGAACTTTGGATTGAGGCTAGTTGGGATTTAGCAAGGTTCGGGATTAGGGTTTATAAGGGTTTAGGTTTTAGGGTGATCGTTTTTGGGATTTATGTAGCAGGGTTTGAGGGCTTCACGTGTTGGGATTCAGGCTTGGGGTTTTGGAGCTTCGGATTTAGGATTTGACATTCTTACGGCTACGGGCTTAGGATTTAGGATGGTTTGAATTCTGGGAGCAAGGCGTGTCAGCTTTGGGAACCGAACAAGGGCGCCAGGGTCCCTGCTTCGTTTGGGATTCGGGGAGTCGGGGAGCAGGGGTTTGTCGCGCTGGTTCAGGTTTTTAGCGAGTTGAGGTTTTAGGATTCAGGACTTCATGGTCCTTGTTTGGGCTTCACAAATTAAGGGGTTCTGGGATTAACCACGTAGGTCTTGAGGGTGTCAGGGTCTAAGGTTCACTCGCAGAAGTGCAGCACGGGGCTCTGGGTTTCAGAAGTCTGTGGGTGGCGTCATGCATCCGTGACGATCCCTGATCTACAGACCCGAAGCACGGAAAGCTTGAGGAGCCAGCATTCGCCTCGAGTGCAGGGCGATGGGGACCAGCACTTTGATGTTTAGTGGATCTTTTGGGTTTAGGATCAGGTTTTCTGCGTCAGGGTTGAGGGATGTTCCTGTTGAAAATCGCACCAATCTTACAATCAAGACTAGCTTTACAACTTTATCCTTAAGCCGTGCCCTGTTTTTCCGTGCAAGGGTAGATGGTAGGGATGATGCCCAGTTTAAGGTATGGTATACGGGCAGCGGCACAAGCATCTCTTGTCCCAGTTAGTAGAGAACGCCACGACTCAAGCCCCCAAGCCATAAACAGATCAGATGTAGAAAGCACCTGAAAGCCAGAAGATCCGTCTTATACCGAGGCTATGACGATTCCGGATGGCCCGCCTGGGGCAACGACGAGTGGGGCGACGGTTGGGCCGAGAATCACATGGACCCTGGGCTGCCATGTAGTGGAAGCTCATGAGTGTTGGACATGCAGTTTCAGGATTAGGATTGAAGCACTACTTTTGAGGCGATAAGAAGCTTTGAACGAGAAGGTAGCTTGAGACGTTTTCGTCTAGACTCAGACCGCCGTGCACACCTGAAACTAGTGCGTCACTGCGCGACCAGGTCGAATATGGCGATACAGAGTATAGCAGAACCGTACCAAAGGGTCCAAGTATCATTCTGGTATATATATATATATATACTTAGACCCCCCAAATACCCTTATAAGTATATACCATACTATTATATACCAGTACAATATACCATAATGATACCCCCAAATACCCTATAAGTAAATACCATAATGATACTTGGACCTTTTGGGCATGATGACATTGAAGATGCTGCCGCTGCTAAGGACGAGGGTCAAACCTTGGAGGAGCTTGGAGAAGAACCTGATCTCTGGGTGGCCCGGCCTGATGGAGGGATCGACCCAAGGTTTCTTATGGGGGGTCATCGTTCTTGCTGCATGTTCCTTCATAGTATACCGGATGGCAGTGCTATCTTCGCTTGCCACCATGAACCCGCCAGTCACGGGATAAAGCTTGAACCCGCCTAGCGTACAGATCTTCAGGACATGCCGGATATAGCTGCGGCTGGGGATGCGCCGTGGTACGGTGGCTATGGCTATGGACCACCTCCAGGGAACGGTCCATCGGATTTCTGGCCGCAATTCGACTGGTTGTTTTCTTTCTCTGCGACGTGTCGAAGCATAGGTTTTAATCATCGAGATGATACTTGAGTCAGGCTGAATCTGGTCATGGAGAATAGTTAATAGCAGCATTATTAGCACCAGCGGTCAAATTGTCGCAGTTCCTATCACCATCGCCAGCGTGGCTCTCTGATTAGAGAGTGGTGAGCTAGCTAACCAGACAGTAATCGAGTTAACTATCTAATCTGATAGCTGCAGCTGATGCTGCCACGAGCACGGACAGACCTGTTGCGAATCTCAGGACCTTCCATACATAATACGATTTTAAAGCTGGACTGCGCATGCTAAGCCTTAGGTGCTAAAATCCGTCACCGATCTGCGTCCGCACGAATTCATAACCCAAGTACCAGGTTCCGCCGGGCTATGGTGCATCCGCATGGCTGGCTGGTACCCAGGAGGCCATGTCTTCGTTATAGATTTTTGAGCTGTCTGTTTTTTAGTGTTTCAGAAAGAGGTCAGAAAGAGTGGTTGTTGGATTCGGATGCTCTTGCGATGGTTCAACTAAGTTATTATGTTGGTGGTTCTTGCGATTTGAGCTTAAAGGCTCAGTATCGAACTTAGCAGGGGCGCTGGCGTGGAGGGAGGTTTGGCGAAAGGTACAGTCTGGAGTTCCACATATGTAATGTAATATATATATATATATATAGATATATGTATGTATATATATGTATATACACACACATATTTGTATGTGCACTTGCTGGAAGACGCTACAACTCGGCAGTTCACGGTCACGTTGCGCAGTCCACCCTGCTAGAGAGGACCCAGGTGGCCACATTGTAGGATCATGTATTGTACGTATCGTAAGACCGTGTAGTAGAGTAGGTAACCTTTAGCCTTTCTTGGGTAGTATAGTGCCTATGTGTTCCCTACAGAGCCAAAAGGTTAACCTGTAGTTCCCCATGATACCCGACAAGTAGGAAGACCTATCCCCCCTAAACCCTAAACCGAGTCCTCGCAGGACCCCTGTCTTGTTCCTACTCCCCTACGCGACTTCCCTACGGACTTATATAGCACTCGAGCAGCGTTTGCAAAGCCAGTGGCGTTCCAAACCGTAGCAATGATGTTACTTCTTGAGAGAGGACGCGAGTCGCAAGGCCCATGTTGACTGAAGTTACTACGGTTGATGATATAAATCCTGCATTACCTTAAGGACCCTAAACTATGATGGGAATTATGGTATATTCCTTATTATGGGTAATGCAGGATTTATATCATCAACAGTAGCATTTTGTATTCGTGAGTACTTGCAATACAGCCCGACTGTTGGATGAGAGGATTAGAAACATGCATGCCAAGATGCCAATATACCACCGGTACCTTCATAGCACGCACATAGTCCTGTACCCTTGTTGTAACCCCTGGCTAGTGCCTTCTTCGTCACTCCCTCTTTCACCCTTCCACCTTCCCTATCCCCGGATCTTAAACCTTTCGCTTTAGACCTTCTTCACATGTCGAACCTAAACCCGACATTCTCATCGATCCTTCTTCGAACCCATGTACTTATAGAGCCCCTCATGACGCCTTATAGAGCCCCCTCTTAGGACCCTTATAGAGGCCTAGGGCTGGAACCGTCTAGAAAAACCTTTGAGGCTTGGTATGGCATGGCTCAGAACCCTCCGGCCTTGCCGGCACCTGCTCCAGGCCAAGCTGCCATCAGAGTTTAGGGTTTAGGGGTTTAGGGTTTAGAGGTTAGAGTTTAGGGTTTTCCTCACCTTAAGCCTGAGGTTCAACAACTAAGGGACTCGAAGATGAGCTGTGACTCGTAGAAATTTGATGGTACGGACACAGAAGTTGGGTGACGGCCCCCTGAGAATGCACCCTTTTGTACAGTAGCTGGGTTTGGGGTTGTGAGTGTAGCAAGGGCTTTTTTTGCTCGGTGCCTTGAAGTGCCGTCTTTTTCGGTGCAATGAGGCAACCAGTGTTTTGACTTTGTTGGCAGCATTCGTAAGGTTGAAGATAAAGACAACCTGATGGATGTAGGCATTGAGGATTTCAGAGACGGTCTCAACGGAGTGACAGAACGCTCTTCAGAGTCTCGCATGAGTCAAATTGGTCGTCTGACTGATAATCCAGACGACTCCAAGCGGGCTTGGTTCAGCTAGACCAGCGCGCCGCACTAAGCCCAGTCGACCCGGCCCAGAGCCCTGAATCGCGAGTATTGTCACCTTCTACCCGGCTGCGAATTTCTGCAGCGACAAGAGCTGTAGCCACTCATCACTAACCATACCTGCAAGGTACATAGGTCTGTATTGTATCTTTCATATAAGCACATATAAGAGTATACAAACGAAGGTACGTACGCCTTACGTACATATGCATGCATGCGTACAGATACACATATATACACGTATGCTCATACACATGCACCTGACTCACCTGCCTGCGCATATACATGGACACATCCATCACTCGAATCGTAGCGTTCTCATTTTTGGGCCCACACCCTTTTCAATCAAATCACGCCCGGACTCAGAAAATAACAGACCCCTAGAGTAATCGAACCCCAAAACAATTGAGAACCCTGTAGCAACCTGGAAGAAACAGCCTCTAAACCCGAGATCCTTTCCACAACTTTTCTCAGACCATCAAGAACCCTTTCGCATTCCTGTAAGACTCCTCCTCTTTGCCCCGCCACGTTGAAGGCTTGGAAGCAGTCGGCTGCCTTGGTCCGCCACCAGGACTCGCTCGGATGCCGGAGAGCCACCCCGAGGTGGGAGGATGCACAAGGAGAAGATCATCATCGTAGTAGTAGCAGTGGTAGTTGAGGAGGAGTTCGAAGTGGTAGTGGTGCTGGTGGTGGTAGTAGCAGTAGCAGTAGCAGTAGCAGTAGCAGTAGCAGCAGCAGTAGCAGTAGCAGTAGCAGTATGTAGCAGTAGCAGTAGGTGGCAGTAGCAGGAGCGGTAGGAGTAGGAGTAGGAGTAGGAGTGGGAGTAGGAGTAGGAGTAGGAGTAGGAGTAGTAGGAGTAGTAGGAGTAGTAGGAGTAGTAGTAGGAGTAGTAGTAGCAGTAGTAGTAGTAGCAGTAGTAGTAGTAGTAGTAGTAGTAGTGGCAGTGGTCGTAGTAGTGGTAGCAGTGCTAGGAGTAGAGGCGTGTAGTAGCAGTAGTAGTGGCAGCAGCAGCAGCAGCAGCAGCTGCAGCAAGAGTGGGAGTCGGATGTCGGAGCGGAGTCTGAGTCAGAGCAGGAGGAGAAATTATTGGTTTAGCAGGAGGCTTCGTAAGTTGTTTGTGCTGAATCCGATATAGAGCCCGATCCGCAATTATCCGCAGTTGCAAGTTCTTGGACATGTCGGTCAGAGTTTTGTCAGCCCAGCGAAGGCTACCAAAACAACTAAGGAGCAAATGCACAACATGTCAGATATTGTCTAACATCCCGATAAACAAGTGCTACAACGAACAAGCAGAGACAAGCAGCGACACACAAGCACACAGCCAAACAAACAAACAACCCAAAACAAACAGACAAACAAACAACCAAACAGCACTCAAACAATCAACCAACCAAACAAACGAACCAACACAGAAAAAAGACAAACAACCTGCAACCGCTGCACTGAGCACGGTGAGGCTGATGGCTGCCATCTTCCCTTGGTGGACCTGGCCTTTCTCGATGAGGTGGGCACCCCCCCTGGGCAGCTCTTTGGGGTGCTAGGGCTCAGGTTTCGAGTTTGGGTCTGGGGTAGAGGTAAAATAGGGGCCTTAATAAGTGGAATAAGGCTTGAGCGTATATTAAGCTGTAGTCAACATGCAAGTATGAGAAATGCAGGATGCCGACATGGATCCGAAGCCATCCATCGCGGGCCCCAGTGTGCAAGGTGCCAACAGGCTCGATGGGCTTCGGAGTTGGAGATTTCTTTGCCTTCTGGGAATTAGAGTAATTAAAGCGGTGGGGGCAGGGCCGAGCGGGTGGGCAGGGAATGGCGGCTGTTTGTTTTTGGAATGCTTTAAAGGCTCATTACCCGAAAGCCAGCTCTTTTGGATCCATTCCTTGTCTTGTTTCGGGAAGTTACGAGTGTTGGGGTTTTGTGTTTCGAGCTTCGAGACAGATGAAGACAAGGGTAGCTGCGGAGATGGAATCAGGAATTAGATGGAAGCCCCGCGATTATTCATTGCTGCCACTGTTGATGTTTTCGTGCTGTTGCTCGTGTTCCGCCCGGCATTGTTGAGCTACATTTCGTTGCTAAGAAACCCTTGTCATGTCAGCTGCCTCCGCACGCGGCCGCAACGCAACTCCCGAACATGTCCCGTGGCTACTGTCGATCTTCTGGCAAGGCGCCCCCCTCCTCCCTCATGTTTGCCACCGCCACCACCGCGTGGGCATTGATGCGGGTGCTACTCAAGGACACTGTTTGGCATTGTTCGTGAAGCCTTAACTTCGAGACAAGACGGGAACCTAAAATACCCCAAGTCGCTAAACCAGCCCGAAGCCCGTACATCCTAAAACCTCGCTGTCTCTTTGGGAGTGTTGGTTTCGCAGCATGAGCGTGGAGTAGGACTTTCGGGTGTACATGGGCTGTTGAAAGTCTAGCAGTCTAGCATACCACTTTCCTATGGTATTGACTATAATTATTACATCTACATAAATCGAGACATACTGTAGGCAAACTGTGAACCACATGTCTGTCCTGCAAGTCTGTCTGTCTGCCAGCCTGGCTGGTGGGCTGGCTGGCTGTGTGTATGCAATGCATGTACACATCCCGCATTTGCATAGACTTCCCTGTGCCAGGTAGACGTTTGCGAGATGTTAAAAGTCACAAACGGCTACGGGGACGCGGTGTTAAATTTCTGGGGCGACTACGGTCGCATGCAGAAGTTCTGAGACCACATCAAGGTCGAGGCTCCACGGCACAAAGAAGCTCAAAGAGGCCTGCCCAACAGAGTTAGGGCTGAGAGTCTCTCAACACCAAACCCCCACTCATCTAAAATCTCTTCAATCTCGAAACTAATTAGATATTGAGCGAACGTCCTATATATAAACCCCACGGGATTTGTTACACAGCCATGCAGGACATGGCCAAAACAAGGCTGCAGATGACATAGGCCCTCAGGGCGCGAGCTCAGGGCTTGGGGTTTGGCATTTCGAGTATGATGGTAATAATCTAGTAAATCTAGTAGTTGTTATTTTGGATGATATTGTGTTTTAATATGGTATAGTACAGTACAGTGTAATGAAGTATAGCACAGTATAGTACAGTAACAGTAATGTACAGTACAGTACCGTACAGTATGGTACACTATAGTACAGTGTAGTATAGTACATCCTCACATGTTTAGTCGTCATCTCTTTATTGTGGTAGGTTCGCTTCGGAGGCACGCATACAGCATTTTGTGCCGGTGTGGTTTCAGGGTTCAACTCTTTCGAGTTCAGCATAGGTCTGGCTTGTGTTGTTTTCTGACTCCTGTGACTGGAGTTCTTAAACTTCGATTCCGTCCTGGGCTTCCTCAGATATATCTCTAAATCAGAATGTCCGACATTGAGAATTCAGAGCCTGGAACTAAATAACCCCGAGAGCGGTGAAACCCTGATCTTCGAAATCTCGAGCTGAGAGGCGAGCTTGGGACATGGCTTTCAGAGGCCTTAATAGTTAGAATAGGGTCTGGGGAGTATGCTATACTGTAATTATGATAAGGAGCCCTACCACAACAAAAAACAAGTATGGGTAAAGGCCCCCTGAAACCTAGAGGTTAAGACTCTTCAGCCATAGGCCATAGGCATCCCTAAACAGCAAAACCCTAAACATGCTTAATCCCCCACCCCCAAACCACCCCTAAACCCTCAACCCTAAACCTCCAAACCCTCAAACCGCCACATAAAAGCGCCGAGACGCTGAAGGCCCGAAGCCCCTGGGACTGGGGAGACCCCGGAAGCCTAAGCACTCCATCGCAGCTCGATAGAATCGGGTTTTTGTGGTATGGGAGCTTCCGAAAATAGGGGGTACCTTACTTTGGGGTCCTTATAAAAAGGATCCTACTATTTATTTAGGGTACTAGAGAAGGGTCCCCTATTTTCGGAAACTCCCATATTTTGTAGTATATAGCATCATGAACTGTAAGGAACCACAAGAAATGGCCCTCCGTGCCTCCAGTCCGTCAGGACAGGTCAGATTGCCTCGGAGATCTTGAACATTGGCCTCGGCGTCCGGGAGATCGCGCAGCCCCACAGGAGCTTCGAGTTTGGGGTTGAAGGGCTTAGTTCAGGGGTTTAGGGTTAGGGGTTGGTGTTTAGGGCTTTAGGGTTCAGGGGTGACGAACTTAGCGTGTTAGGGTCCATCCCGAATGGGTTCCGCTGCCACTGGGTTGAAGCCCAAAACTCCGCGAAGACATGTGCGCTTGGAGATCTTGTCACCATACAGTAAACCCCATAAAGTTGGAAACCGGATTAAGGCCAAATGGTGCTGGGATTCCCTATACATTACTGTTAAGGACTGAGGCTATTGGGTTTCCAACTTTTGGGCTTCTACTGTAATTGAACCTGCAAATACAAGTTCTTGTTACACGGACTCTTTAATGTGAACTGTCCGCATTGAGCAGCTCAGGGCTTTAGGGATGAAGGCTTTGCTGCTCGCTCGTACCTTCGCATCTGGAGGGGGTCTGCTTCCCATTGTTGGGCTCAAGGCTTCCTGGAGCTTCAACGATCATACCGTGTTTAGCGCTAAACCCTGAACCCTAAACCGCTAAAAACCCCCAAACCCCTGGGTTTAGGGTTCTTCGTCCCAGCTTTGGGACTGCGTGCCCTGTTCTGCGGCTACGAGAATTCCAGATTGCAACACGTGCCCCGGAGTGATGTCCGCGTGTATGTAGGAAGATCCTTCATGGACGTTGGGAGCCCTATAACCCACAGCCGCTATACTCAACCCAAACCCTAAATCCATCTCCCCAAAAAACCCGAACCGTAAACCGTATATCCCCTAAACCCAAAGCCCTAAACCCCAGCAGCCACTGAAATCCGCAGCCCAAAGCCAGGAGCCGCCAGGCCCTGCAGTGCTCAGTTGGGTGGTGCACTGCATGAGATGGGGGTGAAAGAAGGGAGCGGGCATGGAACACTGCTGGCTTTCTATATTCTAGAGATTTATAGGGTATTCAAGGTTGCAGCATGTCGCATGCTACCGCAGTCCAACGACGTCGTGGAAAGATGGTTGCAAGTAATACCGCACCTATCACGCCCGTCAAGCCCAGAAAAGCTGCTAAGTGTGTTTTTTACACAGGTCCAGCATGGAACTGAAGTCAGATGCTTCCTGGGTTTCCCGTGCTCAACAGGAATATCCTGCACTGCATGTCTTCGCCGGCTACACAAGCTTGCATCTGTTTAATGTTGCTGGTCACGGTGTTGCTGCTGCTGCTGCTGCTGCTGATGAGAATGGTGGTGATGATGATGATGGTGATGATGATGGTGGTGGTGATGATGATGATGATGATCGCAATCAGCATGCGCACGGCCAATAAAGCCTTGACACGTGCTGTGGACGATGAAGCTGGCAATGGGACAAGGCGGAGTACACCGAGGACGATGACAACAATGATTGGGGTTATGAGCATGCACAAGATGATGAGCAGACACGGTCGAGATAGCGATGACGAACTTAAAGTCCTGCACTAGACCCACCGTCTTCATCCTCAGCAGCATCCGCAGAAGCAGCTGCAGTAGCTGCAATAGCTGCAGTAGCTGGAGTAGCTGCTGCAGTAGCTGCTGCTGCTGCTGCTGCTACTGCTGCTGCAAACGCTGCAGCAACTGCTGCTGCTGCTGCTGCTGCTGCTGCCGCTGTTGCTGCATTGTCGTCCTCATCGCCGTCATAATCATTATGTTCGTCTCTGTCGTCCTCTTCCTCTATGGCGGCCTTCACAACCACATGCGGAACCAGAATTAGCACGAGCACGAATAGTAAGAACTCTTCTTATTAACAGTGTCGCTGCAGGTCTCTCATCACTTAACCCCGCGGTTTGATCAGATGTTGTCGTACTTTTGTGCCAGCAGTGCAAGAGCTGTGAAAACAGCAGCCCGAAGCACGCTGCCTTGGTTGACACAGGGCTCAGTAACTTAGTGTGTCTTTCAAGACGTATGGTTTTGTCAAGTGTAAGCAGTGATCAGGAACAGACTGCCCATTTCAACTGATGCATGTGTGCCCAGTCCCAATTGTCTAAAAAAAAACATGTCTCACAGGTGTCACAGGCAAGCAAGCTCTGAGTTGAACTCATTGCTGCGGCAGGCCACTCTCAGTGCTGTGTCGCCTCCCATATGTTTCTTACCGCGGTTGAGCATCAATAGTTCTGGCTCCTTTGTTCTAATAGCCCGGTCAGCCGGAAATTGCCTAGAGTAGCTTCAGGGCTGTCAAGGAGGCGTTGACAGCGCAGAGTGCATCGTGCGACTCCGCACGGTGGAAGCCTTAGCCACACACCGTGAAATCTGCAGCACGCCCGATCACCTGACAATGCGACAAGTTTTTGCCGAAGCAGGCAGCCCGCCAATGTTTTGCATGCCTGTACGGAGTGAAAATCCTCTGAACAGCTCTTGATCCAGATGCCGCGCTGCGCAAGGCCACTGCCCGACCAGCCCTCAAACCCCCCAAATCCTAAATTTTACGGTAAGCTCCCATCATACCGAACATCTTGTCCCTAAGTCCTAACCTCCCACCTTACCTGAAACCCTAAACCACAATCATACCTTAAACCCCCTAAACCACAATCATACCTTAAACCCCAACCATACCTGGCACGACGACTAAGGATCCGAAGCCCGAACATCATGAGGACCCAGTTCTTGGCATGTTGACAGTTTTGTCATTTGGGAGTTTCCGAAAATAGGGGACCATGATATATAGTACCCTAAATAGTAGGATCCTTATCATAAGAGCCCCAAAACAAGGTACCCTCATTTTCGGAAACTCCCACTTGCTATCGCCATCATTATCAAACTTTGGAGGATGATTGAGATTGTCAAGAAAGACTGTTCGTAGTGTTAGCAGCATGGCTGAATCATCGTTGTTCATACGGTTTGCGGGTTAAAGGGTCTTTTCTGCTCAAGGAATGCAAGTCACCACGTTTTGAGGGGTTTAGATTTCTTACATCTTTTTCAGGGAATGAAGTTAAGAGTGCTCTGCTTCGATAACCCGCCACCCTAAACCCTCAACTTCAAGCTGTACTAGCCTGCATTTGGTCGGGAGCTCGGTCTTGCCCGCTGGCTCGGGACAGAAAGACATGGACGCAGAGTGGAGGATATTCGTGCTAGGTGAGCAGAAAGGAGTGGTTTTCTGCGTAGTCTAGTTGCTTTTCGGTTCATCTCTTCTGATTACAACGAAGATAAAGATTCAAATATGAACTGCTTGAGGA